TCCACAATGCACCAAATCCGAATGCGAAAAAAACTCCCATGCACCAAAATTTGTCCTCAGGAACTATTAACAGGAGCAAAAGGGCAAACGGCTGGGCTCATCCCTGCCCGCCAACAGAAAAAAAAAAACTATCTTGTACAACCCCACCTACCCAGATTCCCAACCCACCCCCCCTCAACCAGTCTCCCTCACCCTGCACGCTTGTCCCTCCCCTCCCCCATCCCCCTTTACCCTTTCCCCACTCATCCCCCACCCTGGCTTTCCCACCCACCTGCCATAGAACTCTTCTGCTTGCTCAACAGCAATGGACAGCTTCGCTATATCCGCCTCCTTCACCTGTATGCATGCCCCTTCTCTCCCCCCTTCCCTTCCCCCACCACCCAACCCACCCCGTCCCCCTCCCCAACCTCCACCCACCTGCCATAGAACTCTTCTGCCAGTTCAACAGCGAATGACAGCTTGGCTATATCCGCCTCCTTCACCTGTACGCATGCACATTCGCACATGCAGGCACACATGCATACATGCAGGCACAGGTACATGCACATGCACAGCACACATGCACACATCCAAGCACACACACACACAAACCAGGAGGTACTGACACAAAAGCTGCAGGTGTATGGACGCAGGTGGGGGTTGATGCCCGCAACAGGGGAATGCCCCAGCAGCTAAACTCACCATGGCCAGTATCTGACTCAGCACACCGTGCGTCTGACACAGCATAACCTGCGACCGACTCACCGTTTCTGCAAGGTTGTATATCAGCACTGAGCTTAACACTGTAGCGAGGGCAAATATCCTGCACACCAAGCATGGGCCCGGGGGCGGAGGGGGTTGGAGAAGGGCAGAGAGGGGCAGAGAGAGGCAGAGAGGGGCAGAGAGGGGCAGAGGTTGCAAGGTTGTATATCAGAACTGAGCTTAGCACTGTAGCGAGGGCAAACAACCTGCTCACCAAGCATGGGGCCGCGGGGGGATGTGGGGGGAAAGGTGGTGGGGGGAGGAGAGGGGGGCGGAGTGGGAAGACAGATACAAAGGGGGCCATACTGACATGGCTTTTAACGAAGCTAGTCAGGCAGAGGACAGGAATAGAGGGGACCAATGGAGGAGGACGAGAAGTGATTGGAGAAGAAAAGGAGAGGGGAAAGGTTGGAAAGGCAGAGGGGGAGGGAGGAGGGGAGGGTGGTGGGAGAATTTGGGATTGAGTGCATGTTGGGAAGGTTGAGGAAACTGGTTAAGGAATAGTACATGTCACAGGAGGGCTCGTCTTGATCAGAAAAGGAAAACAAAAGAAAAGGGACCAGAAGTAGAGGTGACAACAGGCGCTTGGCTTTTGAGACGTCTCAATAGGCGCTTGGCTCGGCCACCTGTCTGTCATCGCACCAACACAAGCAGCACGCGCACCTGTCATCATAGACGGAGGACTTGCCGACGCTCTCAAAGCCCTCGGTGTCAAGAAAGAGCACCGATGTGGTCTGCCCGTTCACCTGCATCTCCATGGGGTCGCCCCACACCCATATGCCTGCCAGCGCCAAGAATTGTGGAAGTACATCATAGCAAACGATTTATTTTTTTAGATATGAAAAAAAAGACTGAAAGGTGAAAAGGTTTCTAAAAGGCGAAGAAAATATCCCAAAGGGTGAAAGAACTTCAATAAATGGATAGAATCCATAAATCTTAAAATGCGGGAAGAAGAATTGCACAAGATGCAGTCAGCTGCTGCATGTAGGTGCTTTTGAGACGTCTCAATAACACCCTCTCTACACGCCACTCAGCTGCATGTACGTGCCACGCCTGTGACTTTTGAGGCGCCTGAAAAGGTGCCACGCCACGCCAGTGTGTTTCTCCCTCTTTGATTGCCTGTTACTCACTCACCCTTGGTCTTGGTGTCGCGTGCATGCCCCACCCCGAACCCTGAAGGGAAAGTGCAAGTGAGGGGTGCGAGACACGTGTGGGGGAGAGAGATATGGAGGCAATTGTGAGGGAGAGAGATGGATGGTTTGGAATTGAATGGCTCAACAGATATGGATCATGATGTGACACAGGGGACTGACAGGCATACCTTCATCGCACGTGAGTGTAAGCATTGAGGTGAGTTTTGAGACGCCTCAAAACTCACCTCAATGCTGACAGATATGGAGCATGATGTGACACAGGGGACAGACAGGCATACCTTCATCGCACGTGAGTGTAAGCAACTGGTTAAGCAGAAAAGATTTGCCTGATCTGTACGGCCCAATCACCTGAGAAGATGGTATGGCAAATACGACATGCAAAATATGGACACATACATGCACACGTATGTGCACGCTCAATGCAATCAATCATGGACACACACAGGGCAACATAGCAGATGCACGCGGATTGGTTGGCACCGCCACCAATTGAGGCATGGATACGATACATTCAATGGGCCTGATGAGGCAAGGACGGATGACATGTTAGCAGCGTGGTGGTTAACAATCAAGCAAGCAGGCAGACATAGCGCAACAATGGCAGTCGGATTCTTGATGCTTCCGATCACGCTGAGACGAGACCTTCCTGGGACACCTTGGGCTTGGTGGTTCGCAAACAAGCAAGCAGGCAGACATACCGCAACGATGGCGATGGGATTCTTGATGCTTCTGATCACGCTGAGGCCCTCCTGAGACACCTTGAGCTTCGTGTGCTTCGTGTCTGGCTGTATTACCGGGTACCTGCACGCATGCATGCATGTGTGTGCGTATCACAACAAAATGTTCGGACATCCATGCTCTGATATCGTACGGCATGGCATATTCTACGTGAATTCAGTGCTAGACCGCAAGTTCAAGCCAAGCTGCTAACGCATCGTGGATAGAAAATCAGCAGTCTCGTCGTCGACACTAACAGCACACTCCAAATCACACCTGCAGCCTGTTTCCGACGTAACCTGATTAAATTCCAGATTGCGCACCTAACGCTGCCACCTGCCTCCTCTGAATCTATAGATAGACATGGTTTTGACATGACATGGACCGCTTAGTTCGCCACCATACGTATTCCAATGTAACCGGGAACTTAGATAATTGCTGGAGTCAGGTGCTACCCAAAATCTGCCAAACTTAGCACGGACGTCGATGCGTCTCGTAGCACGCCCCTCCAGGCAAGTAGTAAACATAATATCCCCTTCTAACGCCATTCCGATACCTAAGGACCTCATACTTCTTCAAACCGTCTACTTTCGTCCCAATAACCTCGTGTGTTGCTCAAAAAGCAGCTTCTTTCAAAGGAATCTAATTCGCTCGCTCTTCCTGCACGACTACTCACGCGCGACGATGCTTCGTGTCGCCGCCGCTTCGCCAAACTTCGCCATCGCCTGGTGTTCGTAAGTCATCTGTGTTCTCCGCATCCTGACCGGTGGCGACTCTAGAGGTTGAGGATAATAATGTGAGTGTAACGAAGAGAAGGCTAACTAAAGCGCGGTGCGATGATCTGGCCATGGCACCTGTGGACACAACAGCTCGGCAGGTGAAATCTGCTCGTAAAATAAAATGAAATATTATATTTAACTAAACCAGTCATGGCATGGGGATGTAGCTCAGATGGTAGAGCGCTCGCTTAGCATGCGAGAGGTATGGGGATCGATACCCCACTTCTCCAGGAAAACTCTTTGTTCTTTGCTTTCGTGACACCTACTAGTTTTGTCCATTGTGTGCCTGTTCATACCAACAACCAGGGCTGACGCTATCAGACTAATTAGTCTGATTAGTCTGACGAATCAGACCTTGCACTTTGTGGAAAATGTATTTCCAGAGTAGTCCATTTTTCATCACTGAGTGCCTCAGACTTCTTGTTTTTGGGCCCTTGATTCCATGTCATAGGCTTCAGACCTAGTCGTTTCTGGAGTCTGACTCTACAGAGTATACATTCTGTGGTCCCCGAGGATATCGAGACGAAGTTTCTTAGAAATTTCTTCCCGATATACCCACCTTCGAATCGGCAGAGAGTGCTACCACGCGAGCAAAGTACACTTCACCAGCTGGGGATACCAAATACACCCTATCTGCGACAAAGACACGCAATTTAGATTGTTGCGTGATTGGGGTAACCGTTGAAGTGTGGAATAGAAAAGGGCCAAAATACTTTTTTCTAGCGAATCGCTCAACGAATCGGGGAACTTCACAGACAATCGGGGGGTGGGGGGGGGGGAGATATCTCCCCACGGGAAATATCGCACTTTTTGGTACTGAAATCGGGTGTTCTCTGCGCTCAAACGTGTGATGTCGTCACTGTTTCGTAGGTTGAATGAAGGTGCTGCCAGGCGCGCCACCAAGTAACAGTTGTGGCCGAAGTGCCTTCAGAGTCGAAATTTTTTTGGGGGGTTGGAATCAGAGTGCCTAAATTTGAAACGTCAGCCCCGCCAACAACCATATGGAAGACTCAAGCTCCCTCATGACTGATGCTTCAGTTTCTTTCACAGTGCAATTGTGCACCAAAAGCGTTTTCTCTGTGTACAATGCAACAACAAAAGGTCTTTCCTGACTGCGTATGATGGGGGTCATGATGTCACTACTACACTATGCGATACTCCTGACAGCAGGATCCTGCGGCACAGTTTTAAAAAAGACACAGGGTTGCACACGAACACGGGGAAATTGGATTAACAAGGCAGTGCACTTCAATTATAGACGTGCAAAGACCAGCATGAGCACCACTTATTCCTGCCTAATACAAGCACATTACCTCTTTCTCTCTCTGCTGCATCGGCCTTCGAGCGCCACTCATTCCCGACCCAACTTGGGTCAGCTCTGAGTCAGCCTGGAGTCGGCCCTTTGTCTGTGTCAGGCCTGTGCCCAGCTTGTGTCAGCCTTTGTGTCAGTCTTGTCTGAGCTGTGTGTCAACGGTCTCTCTCCCTTGGTCTGAGCGCACCCAGATTGCCCAGGAACCGACCCTTGGGAGCAGACTCAGCTGCAGGAGCTGCAGCAGACGGGGGTGCATCACTGCCGGAGGGACTTCAGAGTCAACCATAAGTCACTGCCTCATTTATGCGGTCTGAGGGCACCCAGGTTGCCCAGGAATCGACCCTTGGGAGCAGACTGGGTTGCAGGGGCCGCAGGAGGGGTAGGTGCGTCATTGCTGGAGGGAGTGGGTGCTTGTGGGGGTGATGGTGCTGCAGCAGGTGGCGGGGGCATGCTGAAAGGGGGTTGTGGCGGTGGGGGTGTTGCGTCACTGAGAGAAGGATAGGGAGGCTGTGAGATGGATGGATAGAGAGGTTCGGGGGTAGAGGGATAGGGAGGTTGGGGGGGAGTGGGGTAGAGGGATTGTGGGGCAGAGGGATAGGAAGGTTGTGGAAGAGAAGGGTAGAGGGGTTGAGAGGGAGAGGTATAGGGGGGAGAGGGATAAGCCGGTTGGGAGGGAGAGGAATAGGAAGGTTGGGGGGCAGAGGAATAGGGCGGTTGGGAGGGAGAGGGATAGGAAGTTTGGGGGGCAGAGGGATAGGGTGGTTGCGAGGAAGAAGGGTAGGGGGGTAGGGAGGGAGAGGGATAGGAAGGTTGGGGGGTGAAGGGATACGGAGGTTGGGAGGGAGAGGGATAAGAAGGTTGTGTGATTGAGGGATAGGATGGTTGTGAGGGAGAGGGACCAGGAGCAGGTGAGGCAGAGGGGTAGGCGGGTTGACGGGCTGCTGTGGGCGGCACAGGAGGTGGGGCCCACATAGGACCAGGGGCGTCCTTGGCAGAGGGAGCAGGCGAATGAGGGGAGATGCCTTGTGAGGTGGAGGGGACGGCAGCAGGCCGGGCTGATGCATAGGGTGCTTGCTGGGTTGACTGGAAGGGTGCTTGTTGGGCTGCTGGTGCAAACGGGGTGAGTGGGACGGCTGGGTTGGGTGCTTGGGGGTGATTGGCAGTGGCTAGATTGCCCAAGAACCGTCCCCCTGGGGCGGACGTGGGTGCAGCAGACCAGGCAGGGTTGGCAGGTAGAGCAGGATTGGGAGTTGTGCCGGGATTGTGTGATGGATGTGTGGATTGTGGTGTGGGCGGGAAGGGGGATCTGGCTGGCGGTTGAGATGCTGCTGCTGACGTGGGCAGAACGGATGGGGCAGATGCGCCGCGTGGCATACGCAGTATCTCCTGCAACACAAACAGATAGGAGGAAAAGGATTCACTTGAGGAGAGTCGATCAACTTGTGCCCTGAACTAGCATGACGAAGAGAGCAGTCCTTTCAGTGCTTCTATTTGAGACGTCTCAAAAATAACCTCTATACACGTGGCGGAGAGAGCGGTCCTTTCAGTGCTGCTCTCTACCACCAGCCTCTTTTCCACGTGAGAAACATATCAACGTGCCAGCAACATTCCTCATCTCTCTCTGGCATTCGCCCTTACCTATCCACGCCTTCTGCTCCCCACACCCCACCCTGCTCTCACCTCTTTCGCCTGCAGGTACTTGCTCCAGTGCCTTGCTGTGGATGGCTTCTCCCACCCACCCGGCCCGCCGTTGTACGCTCGCACCACATACTCCTCACTCTGCGTGCTGTTATGGGATGGGGGCCGGAGGGGGGTGAGACACATATTTTGTGTGTGAGTATGCGCCGTCCGTGTGTGAGTATGCGCCATCCGTGTGTGAGTATGCGCCGTCCGTGTGTGAGTATGCGCCGTCCGTGTGTGAGTATGCGCCGTCCGTTGCCCGTCCGTGTGTGAGTATGCGCCGTCCGTGTGTGAGTATGCGCCGTCCGTGTGTGAGTATGCGCCGTCCGTGTGTGAGTATGCGCCGTCCGTGTGTGAGTATGCGCCGTCCGTGTGTGAGTATGCGCCGTCCGTGTGTGAGTATGCGCCGTCCGTGTGTGCGAGGCACAGCCAAAGGCGGACCAGTGACAGCAAGATCCATGCAAAAGCGGCCCTTATGGGTCGACCAGTAGCACTCGCATGCGCTTATGGGCGATGGAGCGACACAGTGTACGTCAATCCCATAAACGGTGCACCATGACAGGTCACCGTGCCGAAGTACATGCCCTAAAAGGAGCTGTGGAGCAAAGAGACGACGAATGACAACCGAACATGCGAAGTCCAGCACTCACATGCCACTGTACGTGGAGAGCCATGCAAGGTACGCCATGGCATGCCATAGTACATGCCCTCGAAGGGGCGGTAGATCAAAGAAGGGGCAACAAAAGACAACCAGAATCAAAATTACACACACTCACGTGCCCTTGTAGGTGGTGAGCCATGCAATGTACGCCATGCCATAGTACATGGCCTCGAAGGGGCGGTAGAGCATGGAGGAGGACCAGTCAACAGTGTAGGCGCGGTACCCCATGTCCCTCGCCAGCCACTCCGCTGACGATTGCAGCACCTGCAGCAAGGGAATGGCCCGTGGACAGGGACAAGGGGTGGTACTGAGAATGAGTGATGCAAGGTATGCCATGCCATAGTACATGGCCTCAAAGGGCCGGTAGAGCATGGAGGAGGACCAGTCTATGGTGTAGGCGCGATACCCCATGTCCCTCGTCAGCCACTCCGCTGACGATTGCAGCACCTGCAGTTGCAAGCACGGCAGGAGAAGAGGGAAGTGACTTTTAAGACGTCTCAAAAGATAGAAGAGGCAGGTGAGTAGGCGCGGCACCCCATGTCCCTTGCTAGCCACTCCGCTGACGACTGCAGCACCTGAGGTCACAAACACGGTAAAGGTAAGGCATAGTAGTGGAGAAACAAAGAGTGGTAACTAGTGTCCCTCGCCAGCCACTCCGCGTATGACACACCATCCCCACTGCTTCACACATCCCCTCCTCCCACAACCCCACACCTGCTTCTCACATCCCCGCACCTACCTCCCACACTCCCCCACCTGCATTAGTCCGGTGCTCGCCTCCCCAAGGTAGGCTCGAAGCAGTACGTCAGCGGCTGTCAGCCACGCACTGTCCACACGCGCACCTGCCTGCTTCTCACAGCCCCCCCCAGCGCATCTGCTACCCACATCCGCTTACCTGCATAAGCCCAGTGCTCGCCTCCCCAAGGCGGGGCTCGAAGCGGTACGCCAGGGGCTGCCACGCGCTCTCCACGCGCGCCACCGCGCACACTGCCAGCACCGCGTCGCCTTCATTTCCCGCCAAGCCTGTCGGCCACAACCGCTTGCCCCGCCCGCTGAAGTGGCGGCGCAGGAGAACGAGCGTCACTCCTTGGAGCTCTGGAGGAAGACATTGGGGGTTCCCAGTCGACGAATGAGCGTCATTCTATGCAGCCAAGGGGTAAGGCGTGGGGGTTTCAGATAAAGCACGAGCGTCATCCCGTGCAGCTATGGGGAAAGACTTTGGGGGGTTCAGAAGGAAGAACGAGCGCCAGTTCTCAGCCAGTTCTCGGCCAGTTCTCAGTTCGCGCACCTTCAAGGCCGATGTAAGGCACGAGCTTGTCGCCGACCCGCTTCATCTCGAACGGAACCTTCCCCGATGCTTCTCGCCTCCGTTCCCACACCGTTCTCACGCCCGGCAGGTCCCACATGGCTCGCATGTCGTCGGGACCCGTCCAGTCGTCCCAATAGTAGCTATGATGCGAATGACTAGGCGCGCGTCGATCCATGCGATCGCCAAAATGGAATCTAGATCCTGGACCAAGATTGAATCCGGATTTGATCCTTGTCAGCGACCGTCGCGACTGGCTGCAGGTTTTACTCGGAGTTTCAGGAGCGGCAAGACGAAGCGGAAGATGAGTTTTGTGCCAGGCACCTCGAATGCAAACACCTGAATCAGGTGGAAAAATCGACGGCGATGAATCTCGCTGACGTAGCAGGAATCCCCAACTGAAATTAGGAGAACACGGCGCGTTGAATGTCGGGATAGTCGGACGGAGCCGTGAATTTTGGATCTCGTGACAACGGAGTGCAACGGATGTCGGCGTGGTGGCCGTCAGTCGTTCATCGCTGGACAAGCTGCTGAGAAAGGGAGAAGGGGAAAAGCTAAGGGTCCGCATACACGACATCCGGTTCAACAAGAAATGGTGCGGATGGGGTATCTCTTCTAAAAAGTAGCTGACGCTGTGCAGGAGAACAGCTCTCGACTCGAACCGAGGACGCTACTAAAATGGTAGTGTGATATGACTACCATGTCAGCCGAAAATCCCAATGCTGAATGCTGTGCAAAGCTTTCGACTCGTCTCCAAGTACATTCGACTCGGCACAATCAAGGAACGACGGAACAAGACTACTACAGTGTGCACATTGAACGGTTTCCGTCTCATTCCGTCAATTTGCATGGCTTCCTTAGGGCGCGTGTCTTTTGGAGTGTATGTAGTTCAGGTTTTCTGTTCAGCTTTATCCATTTTAACTTCGGCTGACCTGTGGTCGACTTTCTCGACTATTTGTGGTCAATTCGCAGTGTCACCTTTCACATCAAACAGATGGAACAGCAAAGTTCGACTATGTACAGTAGATTCCGAGTCGTGCCCAAATTTCGTAGGCTACCTAGTCAAGACGACAGAGTTCGTGACGAATATGGCTACAGTAACTCGGTAAGTTGTTTTTTCGCAACCGTCGCACTATCCGCAAACTCACTGTGCACGAGCAGAAGAACACACGTTTGGATAAACGTGCACGTGAAAATTTGACTCTAGGTCAGTGTCCTTCAATTTCATTAAACCATGAACTGGGACACACGACTTTCGCAATCCAGGTGGTACGAAGCTAGCGAAACAGATTACCAGCAAAAAGTTGATTTTTTTTCGAACTCTATACCACAAGAGACGCGCCCTTATCCTCATCGAGACTCTCACCTAGCGCTGTGCTGGCTGGACCCAAACCAGCTCTGGTTTGGAAGTGCAACCAGAACTGGTTTTCCGCCTTTTGCTTCGGATGGAAGGCATGGTCTTTCACGTCAAGCGTGCTCTATTCTCCGGTCAGTGAGTGATTTGATATTGGTGGAATCGTTTTGTCAGAGCTCAGTGCGATACTTCGAGAAACAGGTATCTTCACTTGTTACCTTATTTCGCATCTTATGGATTCGTTCAGATTCGTGACCTGCTTACCCATCGTCACGAGCACAACCTCGGCTCAACACGTTACTCTCCCCTCTTCCCCTTCCCCAGCCCTCGCATAGCTGAAGTGACGACACTAGTCGTTCTTATATCGAGGTCCCGTCCTTCGTAGAACAAGCACCGATCAGGTCGCCGCACAACACTCCTGGGGCTTGTCGTGCAAACTCTTCAACTCTTAATTTTAAAGTCCACGGTTCAAAAGCCATGGGTCCGTCGCAGAAGCACGTATTAAATCTCCACATGGGATCGGCTCCCGTGTCGGCCACGCTCCATCCGTCCGTACTCTTCAGCATCTGCGACTCGTTCATTCGCCGCAACGAGGACACGCAGCGCGTCATCGGATCGCTCCTAGGAGTCGTGCATCCCGACGGCACTGTAGACATCCGTAACGCGTATGCCGTACCTCATAACGAGATCAGCGACACGGTACGAATTCTTCGATTTAGTCACACTCGCTATATTGACCTGTCCTTCCGGCACATAGCGGCCCTTCTACCCCTTCCAGATGCTCGAGATTGCCGTTCGTCTAGGAACCCTACCAAACCCTCTCATTTGTCGTGTCTCTCTCGTGCGTTTGCAAGGAAAGGCTAACAGTGGAAGGAGAGGGTAGAGCGAAAATCGCTCTGATGAAACGGAACCGACAGAACAGAATTCTGGTGTCCCTTTTTCCCGTTCCTGGTCTAAAGGGCTTTCTACACCTGACGTGCACCTGAGCTGTTTCGCTATGGCATTCCTCGCTAACGCATTTTCGTTCTCCGCGGCCCCGTGATGCCCGCCGCAGGTGGCGCTGGACATCGAGTACCATCGCACCATGGCGGAGCTGAGCCAGCGCGTCAACCCCAAGGAGACCATCGTCGGCTGGTGAGTGTAACGAAGGTGCTTATATTGAGAGACGAGTCAGCGAGTCAAGTCAACTCCATGGAAGCGATCGTGGAACGGTGAACGTAACGAGAGTGTTGGTTGGGGCCGTCACCTGCGAGCCAGCTGGTTAATCCCCAGAGCGAACATGGGATGCTGAACTGTCACGCACCAAAGGTAGTGTTGAGGCTCATAACGAGGATGGTGATAAAGTTCTCAATGGTGAGTAAGGATCTCCCCCCTCTTCCCTCCTCCCCCCCTCCCCCTCCCCCTCCCCCTCCCCAACCCCCATATCTCACCCTCTTTGCTTTCGCCTCCGTGTTTCATTCCCTCTCCCTCCCTCATTCCCCACCCGCTCCCTCATTCTCCTATCCATATTTCCTCACACTCCATCTCCCTCAGGTACTCTTATGGGCCCTCAGTTGCGTGAGTCCGTTTGACGCGTTTATCCACGACTTGTACACCAAGGAGGCGGGCTTTAAGACAGCTCTAACCTCTTCCCTCCTCCCCCCACACACACTCCCTCAGGTTCTCCACTGGTTTGGGTGTGAGTTCGTTTAACGCGTTTATCCACGCGACTTGTACAGCATGGATGCGGGCCATGACGTGCCAAGACTACTTGAATTCACCTCTCTCTCTCTCCACCGTCTCTGGTGTGAGCGCATTCGACGTCCTCATTCACGATTTCTACACCGAGGAGGCGGCCAACCCCATCCACCTCACCAGTCTCATTCACCTCTTTCCCCGTACACATGCTCATTCTCCTTGCAGGCACTCCACAGGCTCGGGCACTCCACAGGCTCGGGCACTCCACAGGCTCGGGCGTGCGGTCCTTTGACGTGCTGATGCACGATTTCTACACCAAGGAGGCGACTGAATCGGACTGTTACATTTCACCTCTGTCCCCACATAATCCCGGCTCTCAGGTACTCTACCGGCTCTGGTGTGAGCCCCTTCGACGTTTTGATTCACGACTTTTACACCAAGGAGGCGGGTCACCCCATCCATCTCACCATCGACACCACCTTCCAGTCGCTCGCCGCTGGTGGTGCTTCCGGCCAACCAGGCGGCGCCACGTCAGCGGTGCGCGCGTACGTGTCGACGCCGCTGTTCATCGGCGAGAAGCAGCTGGCGGCGGCGTTCCAGGAGATTGAGGTGGACATGAGGATGGCTGATGCGGAGAAAATTGGATGTAAGTGAAAAGAGAAGGAGGGAAGGGGGAGGGGAGAGAGGGGAGAGGGGAGGGGGAGGGGAGAGAGGGGAGAGGGGAGGGTGGAGGGGGGGAGGGGAGAGGGGGGAGGGGGGAGAGCGGAGGGGGGAGGGAAGAGAGGGGAGGGGGAGGGGAGAGAGGGGAGAAGGGAGGATTAGGGAACTGGGCAGAGTGAGTGGCAGGGTGGCGGCACGTTGTGGGCTTCCGTCGCATCCCTTGCATGTGACCTCTTTCTGTCCCCCCTTCCCTTTTCACTCCTTCTCCCCTTCCAGTTGACAACCTGCGGTGCACACTTGTGGAGGGGTTGGAGGCGACCATGGGGCCACCATGGGGCGATTGAATGACCCTTGCAACCCCCTCCCCACCCCCTTCCAGTTGACAACCTGCGCAGGACAAGCGTGGAGCGCCGACCAGCAGACATGGAGGGGCTGGCTGGAGGCCACCATGGGGCGACTGCAGCAGTCCCGCTTGTTTCACCTACCACCCGCCTTCCCTACGCCCCTCTCCCTTCCCCAGTTGACAACCTGCGCAGGACAAGCGTGGAGCGCCGACCTGCAGACATGGAGGGGCTGGATGGAGGCCTCCATGGGGTGACTGCAGGAGTGCCACTTGTTCATCTACCACTCGCCTTCCCTAACGCGACTCTCCCTACGCCCCTCTCCCTTCCCCAGTTGACAACCTTCGCAGGACGAGTGTGGAGCGCCTACCAGCGGACATGGAGGGGCTGGAGGCGACCATGGGCCGACTGCAGGGCATGGTGGATGGAGCGCTGGGTTATGCGACTGATGTGGTGGTGAGTGGTGTTGAGTGGTGTAGTAGTGTGGTGTGATTGTGTTGGGGAGGGAGCATGGTGGGATTGCACTGCAGGGCATGGTGGTTGGCGCCATGGGTTATGCGACTGATGTGGTGGTGAGTGGTTGAGTTGAGTTCAAATGAAGTCATGGACTCAAGGCATGGTGTGACTGTTAACAAAGGCATGGTGTGACTCAACAAAGGCGGGCGACTGCAGGGCAGGGCATGGTGGATGGATGGCGTTCTGGTGTAAACTGAGACGGCTTTTGAGGCTTGAGGCTCCTCAAAAGTACTGCAGGGCAGGGCATGATGGATGGATGGATGGCGTTCTGGCATATGTTTCTGATGTATGTGGTGGTGAGGGATTGTGCTGAAGGCATGGTGTCATTGTAAGTTGTGCGTATTGAACCAAAGGTTTGGTGTGATTGTATTGAGGGCGTGGTGAGTTGTGATACTACATTGATGATATGGTGTCTGAATTGTTGTCTGCCCGCCTGTTTCTCGACACGTGTCCCTCTGTGTTTCTGCATCTCATGTCTCTCTCACATCTCCCCTGTCTGCGTGTCTCACCTGTGTGCATGTCCTTTCTGTGTGTGTGTCAAACCTGTGTGTGTGTCGCCTGCCCTTTTGTGTGTCGCCCTTTTGTGTGTTGCCCCTGTGCATGCGAGCAGGAGGGCAAGATGGAGGCGGACAACGAGGTGGGGCGGGCACTGTGGGATGCCGTGGCAGCAGTTCCGCGGATCAGCTCAGAGGCCTTCGACCGGCTCTTCAACAACAGCGTGCAGGTGAGAGCAAAGGGGGTGGGAGGGGAGACGGGGGTGGGCAAGCAAGAGGTGAGAGTGGCAACAGCAGCAGCAGCTCTGGCAGCAGTGCCGCGGATCAGCTCAGAGGCCTTGGACCGGCTCTTCAACAACAGCGTGCAGGTGAGCGGGGTGAAGGTGAGAGTGGCAAGCAGATGGGAAGGGTAAGCGGGTGGGGAATGCAAGAGTGGAGAGTGGCAGCAGTGGTGGCGGTGGGATGGCAGCAGTAGCAGCTCTGGGAGCAGTGCAACGGATCAGCTCAGAGGCCTTCGACCGGCTCTTCAACAACAGCATGCGGGTGAGAATGGTAAGCAGGTGAGAGTGAGACACACGCACATGTGCATGGGGGATGGGTGAAGGGGAGAGTCTGTATCCCACGGATCAGCTCAGAGGCCTTCAACCCCCTCTTCAACAACAGCGGTGCAGGTGAGCGGGCAAAGTGCGGGGATGCATGGTGCATGCACGTGAGAGGCATGCGTAGCTATGATGGTTGCTGGTGGGAGGAATGCTGATTTCACATTATCCGTGTCTCACTCTCCTTTTTCCATGGCTCTTCCCTCCTCTGCAGGAGATGCTTCAGGTGTACCTGACTCACTGCTTTCTCACGTGCTGTTCTCACCTCTCATACTCACTCTCCTCTCCCAACATTGCAGGACGTGCTTTTGGTGCTGTACCTGGCCAAACTCTCTCTCTCTCAATCTCACTCCCTCCGCACCCCCCAATGCAGGACGTGCTTTTGGTGCTGTACCTGGCCAACCTCTCTCTCTCAATCTCACTCCCTCCGCACCCCCCAATGCAGGACGTGCTTTTGGTGCTGTACCTGGCCAACCTCTCTCTCTCAATCTCACTCCCTCCGCACCCCCCAATGCAGGACGTGCTTTTGGTGCTGTACCTGGCCAACCTCTCTCTCTCAATCTCACTGCCTCTGCACCCCCCAATGCAGGACGTGCTTTTGGTGCTGTACCTGGCCAACCTCTCTCTCTCAATCTCACTCCCTCCGCACCCCCCAATGCATGACGTGCTTTTGGTGCTGTACCTGGTCAACCTCTCTCTCTCAATCTCACTCCCTCTGCACCCCCCAATGCAGGACGTGCTTTTGGTGCTGTACCTGGCCAACCTCACCTGCTTTCCTCAACCTCTTTCTGTTCCCACTCTCCTCTTCCCCTTCCCCTCCGCACCCCCCAATGCAGGACGTGCTTTTGGTGCTGTACCTGGCCAACCTCACCCGCGCACAGCTGGCACTAGCAGACAAGCTCAACACAGCCGCCCAACAACTTTAGCTGACTACCCCTCTCTCTTGCTGGGCGGGTTACGGTATCTCCATGTCTCTCCGCCTCGATAGTGGCGCCTGTCACTAGCAGACAAGCTTCACACAGGAGCACAGCTTCCAACTGGCCAGTTTTGCTTGTTTTTTATAGATTTTTCAAGTGTACTTAATCCTGTGCATCGAAAGAAATAGTTGGCACCACCTGACAAGCTTAAAGGACACATCCAGAATTGCCGTGTCGGCCCCAAAACTGTCACCACTTTCGTGTGATTGGTCGAGGGTTTTGAGTGGGTTTTTTACGAGATTGGTTCTAGATTTCCCCACCGAACCTGTCTCTGGGGTTTCCTGAACCTACATTTTTTTCGTTGTGTAATTCAGGGTGTGGCCTTTAAGCCGGGGAGGGAAAAACTGTGTGACTAGTTAGAATGCAAGACTAGGTATTGGTATACTGTGTCCTCTTTTCAAGAAGTGGGTAGCATGATACAGTTACTGCTGCACAAGAACAGTGTTCATTGATAATGAGGGTACCAGTACATTCCATATTAGCATCCTATCTTGGTTGCATTTGACAACTGAGAAAGTGCAAACGAGATTTAGTATACAGACTTAAATATACTGATACATAAATACTTTCATACTGATTGATTGATGAACCCTATTAGATCCTAACGTAAGCTATACAGTCCGCAGTGTAGCCTGCATATATGGGCTATTAGATGCCCTAGTAGCCCTTCTGCTAAGGAAAAAACACGGCGGGCCTAGATCCTTCAGCTCATGCTTAGCATGAGCTTTACCTCTTATTTTTAGGAAGAGACAGCTAGTGCTTCTCAGAAGAATAGGGAGGTCTTATATGGAGCACATGTAAACCGCGTCGCGGAGTGGGGATCAGGGGGTGACCCCTAAGCTGACTCGGCTGCCTCACGAAGCGAGGGGGGACAGCTTGTAGTGGCGACGGTGACGTGGGTGGTCCATGGATTGACGATCCGGGGAAGAGGGCGAGCAGAGCGCGGAAGAAGGGGACGAAGGCGAGGAAAGCGGGAAGGTGGCGGATGCTGGAGGGGAGAGCGGAGACGACGGGGAGCCTGGGGAGAGGGGGGAGAGGGTGGAGGAGGGGGAGTGGGGAGTGGCGGGGATGTCGGAAGAAGCGGGGAAGCTGAGCCAATCGAGAGTTTTTCTCCTCGGAATGGGCTGAGATCTCGGAATTCCACGCCCCTTTGAGTCACGCTGAGCTTGTACGGAGTCTTTTTGCAATTTCAGGACCGGCGACATCAGCCAATGAGCTGCAGGGATGGCAGAAACAGCAGCCTGCTTCGATTTCGTGATTGGCTGTCTTCTGATGGGTTCGCTTCGCTGTGTTACGACTCGCGTCGGTCTCCGATTGGCTGCTGTCACTCGCCCGGCGACCCAGGGATGCTGCAGAACTTCCTGAATATTTGGCCGTTGGGTTGAATCCACAGTCATCATCCGACGGATGAGATGTTTCGCCTCCTCAGATATCGACGGCCAAGGTGAGACCGAAAAGTCGACCTCCGGAATCAGAACTCTCTTATCGGATGGGAAAGAAGGGAGCTTAGCTGATAGCATGGCGTACAATAGGACTCCCAGGGACCACACGTCAGCTGTAACGTTGTACGCTTCAGATGCAACGACCTCAGGTGCTTCGTACGGCGCGCTCCCTGCTGCTCCACGGATCATGAAACCCTCGGGGATCTGTAACGCGAGGCCGAAGTCTCCTAAGCAAGCCTCGACCTGATTTCTCCCACTATCGGAAGTTCTTGTAACGAGTAGGACGTTTTCTGGCTTGATATCCCGGTGAACGATGCCGTGCACGTGGCACCATCTCACGGCCTCCGCGATTTGCGAGAAAACCACAGCCGCAGCTTGCTCTGGAAGGCCTTTCGCTTGGCTCACGAGCGCGAACATATCGCCAGCGTCGCATAAATCGGTTACTATGTAAACCGTTTTGTCGTCTTCGAACAGCGCGAGAAGCTGCAGTACGTGGCGATGCCCGCGTAGCCTCTCCATACTCGAAACTTCGTTCTTTAACGACTCCAAGTCGTGCGCTGACAGCTGCGATTTGCGGATCTTCTTGCAGGCGAACCAGCTTCCCGACTGGATATGCATGCAGCGCCAAACGCGGCCGAATTGGCCCTGGCCGATGACCTGGTCGAAAGTGAAGGAGCTCAAAAGCTCCGCCGTGGGACCCGCTGACGGGAAGAGCCTCACCATTGCGGGATGGTTTCCGCTAACAAAATGGCTGATATCAGAAGAGACGTAAAGAGCACTGAGTCTGCGGAGATCTTGACGATTAGTCGATGGGGAGTATGCAAGGTGCGGCCGCGTGGAGCGAGGGCAAGCGACGAGGTTTGCTCCAAGGACGGGGCTAATATCAGCATATGATTGCGGATGATTTTATTTAGGACACCTGAGCTTTGAATGAAGACTCGTGTTGGCTGAAATTCTGTGTTAAGAAAGGACAGCACATTCTCAAGTATGTACTTCCCTGCGGGTGCAATGTGCGGCTCGCGGGAAACGAAAATGCTGTGGGGACAGCGCGAAAAAGGGGGGATGTGTGGAGGGGAGGAAGGCGGGAGGATGGTACAAGCGTTTGGTTGCACGAGGAACAGTGGGAAGAGAAATGCAATGAATGGTTCGGTGGATCTGCCTCAGGCTGTGCAGTCGGACTTGAGATTTAGGAGATGGCATGTGACTGTAGTACCACCAGAGTGCGCTAGAGACAAAAGGAATGAAAGAAAACAAGAGGCCATGCATGATGATATATGGAGCAAACTAGACGCTTTTGTAATGAACTTGCTGAACATGCTGCTATATATTCGTAAACGACCAATGACAGCGAGCATTCTTTTCCCTCACACATAAACGTGAGCATGTATGGCGTCACATGAAAAGCTGTTCAAGCTGTTGTGGAAGATGGTGCAATATTTCCGCCAACTGTTGTCATCTGTGGTGAGTCTGAACGAGAAACATGGAGTTGCATGGTTGACATCCTTTCGGGTAGATGACGTCAACCATACAATTCTCATGAGCCCCTTTTTTTTCAATAATCAATAACGATTGGACCCATTCACGTGTGGTGGAGTTTCAGACAGACTCCGCAAATTCCTGTCCTATTCCAGTCCAGAAATGTAGGATGGCTTCACGTTTGTCTTCTCACAAGACCAGAATAGTGCATTGTTTAGGTGCAAAATTTAAAACCACTCCCCAGGAATGCAGGTTTCTGTGCTCGTTACCACGGGTGACAGTGTTCTAGCAATCTCAACTTGCATTAAGGAAAACAATTGAATTCATAATTCTGGGGTGTAGATAATAGATTCTTGTGCTGTTGGGAGAATCAATTGAAACAGTAACATTGAGAACGGGGAAAGTGGCTGACTGACATTAAAAGCATGGATGGGTATGGGCTGGGCTGGATGAGATGGGATGGGATAGGACGGGATGGAAAGGAATGGGATGAGATAGAATGAGTTGGAATGGGATGGGATGGGATGGCATGGCATGGGATGGGATGGGTGGGATGGGATGGGTGGGGTTGGGGAAGGGTGGGGTGGGCTGGGGTGGGTTGGGGTGGGGTGTTTTGAGAGAACGGGTGGAGGTTTGCCATTGCCGTTGCCAGTCTTTGGCGGACCCGTGTGGGGAGCACGCACGGAACTAAGGAAGACGGCGTACAGCAGCTGGAACAGTACAGATGTGGGTTTCACTGGAGCAAGGTACAGGTTGGCGCACATTTCAGGACGTGTCTCAGGACGTGTCTCACTTCCGACGAGTCTGCGAGCCGGTCCGCACTTGGAAATCTTGTACCCCAAAACCGTGGACTGGTGGACCGAAGATTTTGAGACACCCTCTCAGGACGTGTCTCACTTGGGCTGGTCCGCCAGTCCGCCCAAACCTGGTCCGTCCCTGAATTTGTGCCTACAGAAACACCCTGGATTGGCCCATCGGACTAGGGTGGACCAGCCGAGTGAACCAGCTTCGGACTCGTTGTTGTTGGGTCCGCAGATCCACTCTACAGTAGCGTGTAGGCGAGAGAAGCTAGGCTACCATGACGCAAGACTGTACAGTACACTTGCGCAGCGTCTCCCTGACGCGTGTGGGCGTCAAAATTTTGCGACAGAGAGAGAGGGGATTTCGTGATTGTTCGCCAATACAATGACTGTTCAGGGGTTCGACGTGGACCAGCTCGCTGAACCTGGATATCCTCCCCATTATAGTCCCTTTTGCCCGCTAAAACGAGGGTGCTGGTTTGCTACACCCACGGTCCACATTGCTCAGGGAGCGGGTCCACGCTTGGGTCCGATGTGGCTTGGTGGTCCCCATCGCCTCGCTGAGGGATTTGAACACCTTCTCAGAAATGCAGCTTGCCTCGCTGGCATGAAACAACCATCAGGGTACAACTACAAATGACAAAAGGAGCCACACCACCAGCTAGAGGCCGTTACTGCTTTCTTCATAGCTAGGCTGTTCAGGCACTGACTGTTCCCGTGAGAAGCGGAAGGCGGTGGGCTGGTCGTGACGGGGATTTTCCGTTTCATCTTTCGTCGTGGTTCGGTCTGTCTAGGCGCTGCCACGATGTTGGGCGCATGACTTGAATTCCGTACGCTCGGTCGGGTATTGATAGATATAATTCGGTACATCCACAAATCACACAAGACGACCTAGTTGCATCAAACTTCAATCGTTTTGAAATATTATATGGAGAGTTCAATAACAAATGCCGGGCCATGATCATGCCTACTTGTACGGCACTACAGGAGTTCAATAACAAATGCCGTTCCAAGGGATGCACCTTGGAATCAAACAAGTATGAACAGAACTGATTGTTTCTAGTATCTTGTCCAGACTGCAATAACATTCAATACATTATCCTACAGTTTCCTGTTGATAAAATGGACGCCTAGTGCTACTGCCATGGCCCAGATGCCATGGTAACAGACGAAGGCGCAAAAAGGTTCCTAACATAGCGCGAACACGAGGAGGTGACAGCTGGCATCACCGGCAGCTTGGGCCTGGATTTTGCAGCACTGTTATTAGGAGAGCCACCCTGCTGGGGACGTTCACAGGCAAATAAACTTGCCGAAGAAATAGGAAACTCGGGACCAGGCTGAGGGCAGAAGGTAGGAGTGAGCTCGCAATCGCTCTCATCCACATCATCATAGTACGAGTCGCTCATTGCTGGGCTGGTCGGAATGGCGATGCGAGGAGGGCGAGAGCAGGGTGGGCAGCCAGACGCATGTTGCCCTGGATGCTCAGAAACATAGAGGTCTGGTGAGGGGAGATTCGAGGTTGTAGGAAGTCCCGGGACAGCAATGTCTGCAGCAGGGGAGTGAGCAACATCCGAGACCGATCGCCGATGCCAGGCTCTGATTCTCCCGCCGCTGCTGCGGCGACTGCCACTGCCACTGCTGCCGCTGCCACCGCTGGTGCTGCTGCTGCTGGGCAGGGTTCTTTCATTCCAAGAGGCGTTGCCGCGCTTAGCCAGGCTCCTCGTCACCTTTGGCTTCCCCGCTGGCTTAGCAGACAAGACCTCTGCTGCAGATGCTTGAGCTGAGGGACCCTTGGGGAGGGCGGCAGCGGCTCCCGTGCGCGTCTTGCCGCGAGGAGACGGAGAAGCCTTGGGTGTCCGGGGGGTGGACGGTTGAAGGGGAATCCCTTGCAGGGGGCTGGAGCGGGGCGATGGCGATGCAGCTGCTGCCGTGGGCGATGCCAGCGGGAAAGCAGGAAACGCCTTGGGGGTGGAGGGCTGAAGGGGAATGCCTTGTGGCGGGCAAGAGCGGGGCGATGGCGACGCGGAGGGTGATGCGCGATGGAATGACGGCAGCTTGAGAAGCTGCAGCGGCAGTCCCTCGGTGCAGAGCGACTGAGCAGAGGCGGAGTGGCGGAATTGCCGTCTAGGTGACGGCGCTTTGGGAGATAGCCGGGTGACGCCCGACGAAGGGGCGTGAGATTGAGTTTGAGATTGAGGTTCTGACTGGGGCTCTTTGCTCTTGCTGCCGCGCGCCACTTCCCGCTTCAACCTCACCGGCCTAAAGCTGCTACCGCTGCCTCCGCCGCCACTGCTGCTGCCGCCGCTGCTGTTGCTGCGGTCAGAACCTCTTTGGGATGAGTCGCGGCGCGTCTCGTCTGACGGGGATCGCTGCGACCACGGCCGACGCGGCGAGGTCGCCCAGCACGCAATTGCGGCGGATGCGGTGCCGCAACTTGCCGCTTCCGCGCTGCGCTGGTCGGCTTCCGCCGCGCGAAGGACGGGCTCGGAGAGGTCCGCGCAACCAGCATCCGCGCAGCCAGCCTCCGCGCGCCCACCTTCCGCGCCGCACTCACTCCATTCGTCAAAGCTGGCGTGCCTCGGAACCCCCGCGCTGCTCGCTTTGGAATTATCCGCGATGCGCGTCGCCTCTGAATAGTCCACGTCAGCCGCGGACTGAGAAGAGCAGCCAGTTCGGCGCGCTTTGGACGAGTCGGGGCGAGAATCGAGTTGGGGCGCCGCGGTCTCGGGTCCGAAATCGAGTTTGGGAGCTTCCGTGGGAGGAAGAAACGGCGCTACGGGAACGCTTGGTTGTTGCGATAATTTTAAACTGCGTGGCGCTTTTCTTGACTCGCTACGAGATGATGCGATTCGGAGCCACGGGTGCGCCAACACGCCGTCGATATCCAACCGTTGGCTCGCGTCCAAGGTCAGCATCCGACGGATGAGATCTTTCGCCTCAACCGACACGGACGGCCAGGGTGCGACGGAAAAATCGACCTCGGGCAGAAACTTGCGCACGTTTCCGGGAAAAGAGGGCCATTTCGAGGAGATAGTTGCGTACAGGAGCACTCCGAGCGACCAGATGTCCGCGCCGAAGCTGTAGAGATCCCCCGCCAGAACTTCCGGCGCCTCGTACGGCGCGCTGCCGACGGCGCCGCGCAGAGAGAAGCCCCTCGGGATCTCCATCGCGAGGCCAAAATCCGCGAGGCGCGCATCGAGCCGAAGGCCCGCGTCGGGCGAATCGTTGCCGGCGGCGGTGGCGGAGGTAGTGGCAGTCGTGGCACGAGTGGTGATGAGTACGTTCTCGGGTTTGATGTCGCGATGCGCGATTCTGTGCACGTGGCACCATCTCACGGCATCGGCGACCTGCACGAAGATCATCGCAGCCGCTCGTTCGGGAATGCCGCCGGTTTGCACGATCAGGCTGAAAATGTCGCCGCCGTCGCACAATTCCGTCAGAATGTAGACGGATTTCTCATCTTCGTACAATCCGAGGAGGGGGAGCACGTTGCGGTGGCCTTGAAGGGATTCCATAGCTGAAATTTCGCGCTCGAGCGACTCGAGCTCGTTCTGCGTGAGGTGCGACTTGCGGATCTGTTTGCAGGCTAGAGGTGCGCCCGTTGCGCAATCAACGCAGCGCCATACGCGGCCGAATTGACCCTCGCCGATGACGCCGGTGAAAGAAAATGCTTCAAAGAGCTCGGCTGATGTACGCGCTGATGGAAAGAGGCGGTCCGCCATTGCATGCGTTTCTTAGTGATTGAAAAATAATATAGCACTGCTGGGGTACTACAGGCTGATGCGAATCGATGATTCGATGTGACTGCTCCTGCTGCTGCTGCTCCACATGCGCAGAGCTCGGCTTTTGGGGGGAGAGCCACGGAAACGATTGTCGCGAACAGGTGAGAGTGATGAGTAAACGGTTATCCTGACGATGCTTATGTACTATGGGGAGTGGAGGGGCGTTTTGGTTACACACAACAACGCGGAGAGATGGGCGGGCGATGCGATGTAATGAGTGGGACGCGTAAAAACGCGTGGTGTGAGACTGTGAGGGGAGCGATGAGACATGGATGGCGGAAAGCGCAGAGTGTGGTCAGGGAAACAGGTCGAATGGTCACTAAAAGTCATGAATCGACGAGGGGAGAGTGAGGGAGGGAGGGGGAGGGGTAGGGGAAAGGACTGGTCTTGTCTGGACTCTGGTCTGGGGGAGTATCTCATTCGATACAACGACGCACATCGGACCGCAGTTTCTAACAGCGGATCAAGACCGACGACTATGGTTGGAAAGGGAAATCAAGAATGCAACCTGAACATAAAAGTGCTGCTTGCGAGGTGACTGAGGGGGTATAATATCTGTTCTATTTGCAACTTCATTGCCACAATCGACAGTTCGCAAAAACATTCGGGACAATCAGAAACCATGTAAGAGTGTAAATGACCGGTCCACGGTATCTTAAAGGCGGGGTGGAACTTCTTAGGAACAGTTGCAGGACAAATATTGAGTGTGCGGAACGGGACCCTTATTGGACGAAAATATTGTTTCAAGCTATAATACCCTGAAGTTGAAGCTGATAGTTGGGCCACGGCTTTAGCGTACAGCCGCGATGTCCATGGTATCCATAACCCAAACCCTCAACTTCTCTCTCGCAAATGTTTTTGCACTTCCTTTCTCGAATATACCAAGTGAAGTAGTAGTCATGGGCTGACACCCCTTCTTGAATTTGGGAGCTCTGACTCTAGTTTTACATTGGCTGATATGTCGACCAGCAGCCAGCTGGAATCTTGGATCTGTTGAGCACGACAAGAACACCAAGCTCAAAGATTGGGCACTGAGGAGCTGTCCAACGGGCAGAAGTCAAGGAACAGCCGTGGAAAAAGACGGTAAGAAACCACCGTGACAAGTTGACCCCACCCACACAACTGTGCACGAGCCAACACACGAAACGACAAAACAATCGTTATTGTACATTTTAGCATTATGCCACGAGAATATATTGACCGATATCTTAATACTAGGTAATGCTGAGAAATCTGTTAGTGCAATAACTTTATGCTGACACAAATCTGTACTCTATGAACTTTGTTATTGAGTTATTGGCAAGTGTAAGGAAATTCCCTTTTCCTTACTTCGCATCCCTGCTCAACGCGTACATCACTGTAGCACCTCAGTCAGCACCGTTACCACTCGCGACCATCGCATCATTCATCATCCCGCCATTTTCGCACATCGCATCCCGACCTCACGGCTCGGCTGGTAACCCGCGCTCCGGGCCTACGCTTCGACACTTTCCCAACCTCAGTCCCAGGCTCGTCGCGCGACCATTGCCGTTACCACTGTTTTCGCTATATATTATTCGCTCATGCCTTCGCTCATCGTACTCTTGCTTCGATAGTGCAGTTCTCGTTCGTTCACTTAATTGCACTCGTAACACTTGGTATTCAGAGCCTACGATCCCATCTCAGACCGCATCCACACCTTCGCTTCCCCACTATCTCATTTTTTGGGGGGGGGGTAGACGTCTCTCAGCGATACAGCATTGGCGCTCGTAGTGCTCTCTCGCAAGCACGCACGACCACGACTGAGGCTCTCGCTGAGCTTGCCCGACAACCCCGCCATGGCCGATTTCACGCTCGCCACACTGACGCAGGAGCAACTTGATCGTCTCGTGCGTCAACTGGAGGATTCAGCGCTTGAAATCGCGACCCTCACGGCGGAACGTGACTCCGCCCGTCAACAGTCCACGGTGAACATACCGACGACATCCCACGCACCAACAAACGCATCTGCACATTTGGATGAGCCGATCATCATCTCGTCCGGCACACCAACACAATACGACAGCACGGGACAACGCTCAAGCGCAGCCAGTGAGGGCGCCGCCCAACCGATGCCGGGTATGGGAGGAAACACAATCGCACCAAGCCCACCGGAGCCTCTAGAAGTCCGTCGGCACGTGGAATTTGCGGCGACAAGTGGTGAACACTCCAACATGGCACCAATGCCGCTCAAGCCGCAACGCCCGCCCTGCTTCGACCCAAGTCAACGCGGCGGTCCGACAGTTCAATCGTGGGTCTTCACGATGAACGTTTTCTTCGACGCCAATTACGTCGAGTCGGACGCCGCAAAGATCCGGTATGCGCTTTCATTGCTAAGGGGCCCCGCCATGGACTGGTGGCGAGTCATCGTGACGTCGCCACGCGCCTACGAGCCACCGTCGCACGAGGAAGGGCCCTCGGGTCCAGCTGTCACCTGGAGTTCGTTATTCGAGACCGCCCAATACAGCACGTGGGATGCGTGGTGCGCAGGGCTTCGGGCGCGCTTTGAGCCGATCGCGGCTTCATTTTCGGCGCGTCAGAAACTGCCCACTTGGCGCCAGCTCGGGTCAGTTCAAGACTATACCAGCGGTTTTCTCGCACTTTGCGAGCAGGTCGGCTACATCCACGAAGCGGAGCGGGTGGACCGTTACGTCGGAGGGCTGAAGCCGGACATCTCGCACGAGATAATGCTGCGCGGACTCTCTAATTTCAACGAGATTCTCGCGCTCGCCGAGAAGATTGACATTCTACGACGACCGAGACCGGGGTCCTATTACGGACATCGTCCTCGGGGACCGACCGAGCACGCCATTGTACACGCCGTTGCAACGAATGCAGCTGCCGCACCGTTTAAGGGGCGCTGCTTTGCTTGCAACAGGCCGGGCCATCGCAAGAGCGAATGTCCAGAGGAGCTGAGGCGCCGAGGAGCAGAGCAGGGGAAGGAGTCTCAGAGGCAGGGAAACGCCAACAGTTAGTAGAAGTTGGGCCAACTACTGACGAGACTGCCTGCTCGCCCAACCACACCGACCCTCACCGAGTCACAGTACCGATTCATGCCATCGATCGGGCTCGGATGAATAAGGAGGGTACAGCGACGGATTGCCCGGTACTAATCTACAGGAAAATACTGGGAGCAGCAGTGAAGATTTTTATTGACGGAGGAGCAAGTCACAGCTTAGTTAATACCGCAACCGCACGGAAATTATAGTTACCACTTAATCGATGCTTACCTGAGATAGATGCACGCTTAGTCGACGGCACGCCACTGGCTATACGGGAAAAGGTGGAGAGACTAAAAGTCCGCTGCGGAGGGAACTTCGGGTTTACATAGTAAATGCTCGCGATGACACTGGATGGGCACGACATTTTATTAGGACTTGATTGGTTGCGACGGTATAACCCACGAATTGACTGGACGACGGGTAGCTGCACAGTGCGAAGTAGTGGTAACTGGGTCGTCCTACCTCGCTGGCAGCGACCCGAGTCTTCGATGGTCCAGGTCAACGCCATCACGATGAAACGGGCTGTCGCTGTTGGAGCTGACGTGTACGCGGTGGATATTGCATTAGTGGAAAAAGAGAAACAGCCGAGTGATTCGCAGAAACTGTTGGCAGCCGTATCGTCGGAACTACAGGCACTACTGAAACGGTTCCCGGGTATCTTTCCGGATGACTTACCGCAAAGGCTGCCACCTCAGCGGGCGCACGACCATAGGATCGAATTAGAACTGGGGGCACAGCCAACTGTACAGCGTCATTTTCGAATGACACAGCCCGAGCTCGACGAGCTAAGGAAGCAGTTAGATTACCTGTTAGAGAAGCTGTTTATCCGATCGAGCTCGTCACCGTTCGCCGCACCGATACTGTTCACACCGAAAAAGACGGAGGGTTTCGCATGTGCATCGACTACCGAGTGCTTAACATGGTAACAGTCAAATTGCGATATCCCATCCCTCGCGCCGACGAACTGATCGACCAGCTGCGAACTGCACGAGTATTTTCGAAAATAGACTTACGGGGAGGTTACCATCAAATTCGGGTCGACCCATCGGACTTCGCCAAGACAGCATTTAGGACTAGGTACGGGTCATTCGAGTACACGGTGATGCCTTTCGGGCTTACCAACGCGGCTGCAACATTTCAGATGACCATGAACGAGGCGTTTAGCCCACTTTTGGATAAATGCGTGATAGTTTACCTCGACGACATCCTCGTTTACAGTCGGGACCCGCAGCAGCACTTTGTAGATCTCGAAGCAGTTTTTAAAATTTTAGAGGCACATCGCTTACTAACCAAGGGCTCCAAGAGCGAGTTTTTTCGGGACAGGCTAGAATTTTTAGGACACGTTATTTCGGAGGCTGAGGTTGAGATTGACCCTAAGAAGCTGGATACGGTACAAGCGTGGCATCCCCCGACGAACATCACGGAACCACAGAGTTTTTTAGGATTCGTTAATTACGTTCGTCGGTTCGTCCCCGGCATGGCACGCTTAACACCCCCTCTCAATGATTTACTGTGTAAAGGGGTCGTTTTTACGTGGGGGGAGAAAGAGCATACTGCCTTCTCTGCCCTGAAAACTGTTCTCTGTTCACCACCCGTCCTTCGCATCGCTGACCCACATCGCCCCTTCGAGGTTGTTACCGACGCGAGCGACATCGCCATCGGAGCCGTACTGTTACACGACTTTGGCAACGGCCTTCAACCCATTGCCTATGAATCACGCAAACTGCATCCACCTGAGCGAAATTACCCGATACACGACCGCGAAATGCTCACGATCGTGCATGCATTCAAAGTGTGGCGCTGCTACTTGACCGGCGCAGATGTGACAGTACGGACAGACCATCGATCCCTACAGTACCTCCGTGCACAGCCCCACCTCAACCCACGACAGATTCGGTGGCTCGACTTTCTCGAGTCGAATTTCCATTATACGGTCACCTATAAAAAAGGAGCCTCAAATATCGCCGACGCACTGACCCACCCCACTGCCCAGATCCATGCGATACTACTCGCCCAGACCAGCCCGTTACTGACAGGACTATTTACCCACGGATATCAAACAGACTCATTCTTCACAGGAGGAAATTCGCAGCAGTTCGCAGCAGCCAAGGGAGTCTATTACGTAAAAGTTGGAACCGACCGCATCTGGGTACCAAGGTACACACTACTACGGGAACTACTATTACAGGAGGCACACGACGGAGTTACCTCGGGACATTTCGGAGTAGAAAAAACACGGCACCAGCTGCAGCGGTACTACTACTGGCCAGAAATGTTGACCGACGTGCAACGACACGTGGCATCGTGTCCCACTTGCCAGCTCATGAAGTCAAGCAGGAAGCGGCCGGCGGGACAATTGCAACCAATCCCACCTCCAGAGCGTGCTTGGCAGCAGGTGACGATGGACTTCGTCACGGGGTTACCGGCTGGGGCGAGTGGGAATGACGCGATCCTGGTCGTCGTCGATCGACTGACGAAAATGGCACATTTTGCAGCCTGCAAGAAATCAATCACAGCCGAGGAAACAGCCCGACTGTTCATCACCACCGTCGTTCGACTACACGGGATACCAGCTTCGATCATCAGCGACAGGGACACGAAATTTACCAGTAATTTCTGGCAGAAATTGTGGCAGCAGCTCGTCACGCGACTTCTATTCAGTTCATCCTATCACCCCGAAACCGACGGACAGACAGAACGGACAAACCAGATCATGGAGCAGCTGATTCGAGCCACGTGCGACGATCCAAACACGTGGGAGCAGCACCTGCCACTCATCGAGTTCGCATACAACAACGCGCCATCTGTCACGACCCGACAGTCATCATAATACTTAAACTACGGAGAGGACCCAACAGTACCCATGACCCCAAACCCCGACAATCTTGTTCCACGCGCACAACAGTTCGCCGAGATTTTGCAAGCAGCACGGACCAGGGCAACAGAAGCAATTAAAAAATCAAATATCATCGCTAAACGCAACGCCGATCGCCACCGCAGACCCGTCACTTATCAGCCCGACGACCTCGTTTTACTGGACACTCAGAACCTCCGCCTGCCCATCACTCCCAAACTCCGCCCTCGATACTGTGGGCCATTTCGAGTTAGTCACATGATCACACCTGTCACCGCGCACCTCCTCCTCCCTGCTGACTGGTACGTCAGCCCCTCGTTCCACGTCAGCCTGCTTCGCCCTTACGTACCATCCACCAGCCAGCTCCCACGACATCGACCATCCAGCATGGCACATCCGCCAATCGAACCCATCATCACCCCCGACAAAATCTTGAGCCACAGAGTTCGCGACCCTCGAGGAGCTCGAAAAGGCGAGTTCTTGATTCGCTGGAAAGACCGTACACCCAATGAGGACAACTGGGTTCCCTTGGACATAATTGAAAACCACCCTGTCCTCACCGAATATCTGCGCAGCCGAAACTTCAAAGACGTCCACGCACTCTCGTAAGGAGGACCTCCTCTAGGAAGGGGGGTAGTGTAAGGAAATTCCTTTTTCCTTACTCCGCATCCCTGCTCAACGCGTACATCACTGTAGCACCCCAGTCAGCACCGTTACCACTCGCGACCATCGCATCATTCATCATCCCGCCATTTTCGCACATCGCATCCCGACCTCACGGCTCGGCTGGTAACCCGCGCTCCGGGCCTACGCTTCGACACTTTCCCAACCTCAGTCCCAGGCTCGTCGCGTAACTACCATTACCGTTACCACTGTTTTCGCTATATATTCTTCGCTCATGCCTTCGCTCATGCCTTCGATAGTGCAATTCTCGTTCGTTCACTCAATTGCACTCGTAACAGCAAGACACAAGGTGGACGAAGGTACTCGCGTGGTTCTGACGCTTCTTCAGGAATGCTTCACCCTCATGTTGCCACGTTGCACTTCAGATTTCCGTGCCGCCTAGAGTGGCTTGAACGATTGACGCTTTCGCTATCGCGCTCCATTCGCCTTCTTTTGTAATCCGTTACTCCACTAGCCTCGAGCCCCGCAAGGTGCGGTTGTCGTGCTTCTCGAATTAACGATCGTATGCTGAGGCTTGGGTCGGCCACTTCTTGCAGATATCGGATATCTACTACTGTACCTTCGATTTGTGGACGTGCATTCTCGGTCATCTTCGCATGACAGACCTCAGGCATCTGTGCAGAGTAGCCACCGGATTGCTGCGTGTAAGAATCCATACGGATCCAGGATTCGAACCCGCGACCTGTCGCCGTTTCTTCAGCATCCCAGCAAAGGCAGAGACTCGTACCCATCGCCCAACGGTCAGATTGGAGTCGTTTTTGGGCGGTGAGTGTAGCGAAGAAGCGATCATGGGCTTCCAGAAGATTCCGGTTGATAATCCCATCGTAGAAATGGACGGTACGGATTTGCTGTTGACCTGTCCGCTAATTGCACGTAATAGATTGGGGCGTGACGGAAAAAATCCTTCATTTCCCTTGTCAACTTGCCTCTCGCTCTCCTCCCACTGAATCTCTTGCCGATTGTCCCCTGACCGCTTTTTTTCTTGCTTCATCGCTCCCTCCCTATCATCTCCTCTCTCTCAACACGATGGCATGTTCTGGATTTCGCTGTGCAGGAGATGAAATGGCGCGAGTCATCTGGTCCATGATTAAAGAGAAGGTACTCGCACCCCGTGTCCTGGCTCGGTCAAATTGCATCTCTCCAAGCAGCTGCGTATCATGCATGCAGCACCGTGTATAAATTGTATTGTTGAGACGTCTCAAAAATTCGCTGTGCAGGAGATGAAATGGCGCGAGTCATCTGGTCCATGATCAAAGAGAAGTTACTCGCACCCCGTGTAGTGCATTCAGCATGCCCCTAGTTTGGAGTGCAGATGAAATGGCGCGAGCCATCTGGTCCATGATTAACGACAAGGAACTCGCACCCCCAGTACCTGATAGTGTCTGCTCCCATTGCCTTCCTGCGTCCATCTTCCGTGCGCCGCAGCTCATCCTCCCTTTCCTGAATGTCAATTTTTGAGTCGACACAGATTTGTTTACTTTTGAGTCGGCTCAAGATTTTTATTTTTTGAGTCAGACCCAAACGTCAGCTCATCCTCCCCGTCCTGGATGTCAATATTAACTTCTGCGACCTGGGCCTGCCCGACTCCCACTCACTCCATATCAACCATACCGCTTCCGTCCCGCCCTCTTCCCTGCCTGTTTTTGCAATCTCCTCTCCCCGCAGGTCATCCACCCCTTCCTGGATCGCGACATCAAGTTCTTGGACCTGGGCCTGCCCACTGTCGTGCACCTGACAATGCCCATGCCCCATCCATCCTTCTGCCTCCCTGCCTGCCTGCCTCGCATCTTATCTGCTCTACTCCGCAGCTCATCCACTCCTTCCTGGATCGCGACATCAAGTTCTTGGACCTGGGCCTGCCCATTGTCGTGCACCTGACAATGCCCATGCCCCATCCATCCTTCTGCTTCCCTGCCTGCCTGCCTCGTATCTTATCTGCTCTACTCCGCAGCTTATCCACCCCTTCCTGGATCGCGACATCAAGTTCTTGGGCCTGGGCTTGCCCTTACCCGTTGCCATGCACGCATCTCACTCACACTGCTCATGCCCCATCCACCCGAAAGAAGGAGTGTTTTGAGACGTCTCAAAACACTCCTTCTTTCACGTTGCCATGCACGCACCTCACTCACACTACTCATGCCCCATCCACCCATCTGCCTATCTCCCATCACCGCAGCTCATCCGTCCCTTCCTGGATCTAAACATAGAGCACTTCAATCGACCTGGGCCTGCCTCAGGCCGTGCACCTGATATCGCCCATGCTGCATCCATCCGTCTCTCCCTCTCTCTTCCTGCCTGACCCCATACTCTCCGCAGCTCATCCGTCCCTTCCTGGATCTAAACATCAAATACTTTGACCTGGGCCTGCGCTTGCCCATTGCCACGCGGCTGACATTGTCTGCCCATTGCCCATTGCCTATTGCCCATTGCCCATTGCCCATTGCCCATTGCCCATTGCCCATTGCCCATTGCCCATTGCCCATTGCCCATTGCCCATTGCCCATTGCCCATTGCCCATTGCCCATTGCCCATTGCCTGCCTGTTTGTATTCTCCCATCGCCGCAGCTCATCCATCCCTTCCTGGATGTCAACATCAAGTACTTTGACTTGGGCCTGCCTCAACCCCATGTTCTCCCTGCCCCATCCATCCTCCTCCCTGCCTGCCTGCCTCCGTGCTGTGCTCTCCCCCCTCCGCACAACAGCTCATCCACCCCTTCCTGGATGTCAACATCAAGTACTTCGACCTGGGCCTGCCTCACCGCGAGGCCACCAACGACCAAGTCACGATCGAGAGCGCACAAGCAACGCTCACGTAAGCCTCTCAATTGATCATTTTAAAGATTTCATAATTCTCACAGAGCGCTGTTGTACAAACGTATACCTTTTCAAACACTGGCGACTAGTCTATCCCCCGCCACCCCATATGCATTTGTCCGTTCCTTTTCACTTGCCTCAGCTCCCCTTCGGTTGATTTTCACTTCCCCTTCCCGTCCTGCCTGCTCTGCTCTGATTGTTGTCAGCTTATAATAATCTTCCCTGCTCCCTCGCGTCTACAAACATCTCGGTCCTGCCTAATTCTGTTTTGCTTCCAACAGGTATAATGTGGCAGTCAAGTGTGCGACAATCACTCCTGGTGCGTAAGTCTTAGGGCAATCAGTCATGAGTGGGTCAGGGGAGGGTCACCGGCGAGTTGGGTGGTTGCGTGCGTGTGGGTCGTAGGTCTAATCTAAACGCCAGACTGATGGCATTTGGAGCAACTCCGTTGTACCTGATGCTTCTGTGCTTGAATTGCACGCATCGTGCTCCATTCTCATCTCACCACCCACTCCCTGAATGTCATGCCTCCCCTGCGTGCCCCTTTCCCTGAATCCAGACGAAGAGAGGGTGCGGGAATTCGGACTCAAGGCCATGTGGAAGAGCCCCAATGGTGAGATGCCACGTGTACGGTATAAAGAGAAAAGAGAAGGGCTCATTCACAACTTCTGTGGCGTTTTTTCGAATTCTCACCATTCCAGCTGGTGGTACAGTACAGATTCGTTTGTTAGAATGGATAGCACTGCTGCTGCGTTTCACCGCCAATCTTGTGCTCCTTGCTGTGTTTCACCGCCAATCTTGTGCTCCTCTCCCATGTTGGTGCGACTTTAGAGAATTCTCACAAGTTCTTTCATCCCTCCATCCATGCTCTTCCTTCTCTTTCTCTTGCAGGCACCATTCGCAACATACTGAATGGTACGATATGATGCCACATATGTTGGCTGTGTGTGCGCTTTGACACGGCGCGTGCGCGCGCGTGTGCGAGTACGCGTGTGTATGTGGGCCACGCAAATGTATGGCCTCGTTGTGCATTGACTGTTTGCTATGCATCTGTGAAGCTGCTGAGTTCTCATCCCCCATCTGCATCTCTTCCGTAAACCTCCCCATCCAATATCATGCCTCCTCGCATATTGTTTCCAAGGCTCGTCAAAGCCTTTCCTCTCACTCGACCCTTTGTTCCTGAACACGCCCAACTGTTGTATTCTGGAACCCTGTGCTTCAATCTCATCCATCCCCCCTCTCTTGCTCGCATCTGCAGGCACTGTGTTCCGGGAGCCAATTCTCATCCGCAACATTCCTCGCCTCGTGCCCTGTCAGTCACCCATAAAGACCCAGTTTCCACACACCGCTCTCCCCTTCTTCCTCCCGCAACCTCATCTTCCCACCCTTGCTCTTCCCTAATTTCTCTCTCTCTCCCAGAATTCCCCCCTCGCATCGCATCTTACTCTCTCCGCCTCCTCTCCCTCTCTCCTTCACCCCTTCACCACCTCATGCCACACCAGCACTCACATGCTCCTCGTCCTCCCTTCACCCCTGCATGGCATGGCATGTCACCCCTGCATGGCATGGCATGTCACCCCTGCATGGCATGGCATGTCACCCCTGCATGGCATGGCATGTCACCCCTGCATGGACGCACCCCGTAGTGATAGGCCGGCACGGCATGCATGCGTTGTTTGAATCAACTCCAAAAAATCCTTACACACTCTCCCGCTCTCCGCTCCATCATCCTCACCCTCGTCCTCCCGTCACCCCCGCATGTCATGTCACCCCAGCATGGACACACCCTATAGTGATCGGCCGGCATGCCTTCGGGGATCAGTACCGAGCCACAGAGATGGCCATTCCGGGTCCTGGCAAACTCAAGCTCGTCTATGGTGAGTGCAATTTCGTATGTGAAGTATATGTAGGTGTATGTAGGTTCCGGGTCGTATGTTTGCAGGACGCACCCCATAGTGATTGGCCGCCATGCCTTCAGTGATCAGTACCGAGCCACTGAGGTCGCCATTCCCATCCCGGCCCTGGGAGGCTCAAACTCGTCTACGGTGAGTGCAGATTCCTTAGTATAAGGGTACATACATGCGTTTGAGATCGCTGGGATTGATTCCGAGCTGTCTGGTTTCTCATTTCGCTCATTGTTCCCTTCCCACCCATCAGAAACCCCTCAGGGCACCAGTCAAGTCTTGGACGTGTACGAGTTCAAATCGCCCCCTTCCACCAGCAACGCTACAGATGCCTCTCTCTCATGCCCTTCTCTGTGTGATGCCTCTCTCTCATGCCTCCCTCTATCTTTCCCACCCATCAGAAACCCCTCAGGGCACCAGTCAAGTCTTGGACGTGTACGACTTTAAATCGCCCCCTTCCACCAGCATCGCTGGCGGGGATGGGGGTGGCAGCGGTGTGGCACTCGCTATGTACAACACAGATGAGGTGGGCCGGGCGGGGGGGACGTGTACCCAGGCTGGGGCACCATCTGTTTACCGCTGCCAGCAGCAGTGCTGGGGGTGGGGATGGGGGTGGGGATGGGTTTGGGGATGCGGGTGGTGGTGTGGCACTCGCTATGTACAGCACAGATGAGGTGGGCCGGGAGGGGATTTGAGAATTTGGTAGCACGTGGCACATTTGTCAGGGCCGGGCAGGATATGGTAGCACGGGCTATACCACTATGTACTCTTGCTTGCCTATGTCCCCGTGAGGGCGTTTGCTGAGTCATCCACGCATTCAACGGCATACCAGAAGCGGTGGTCAACTGACTTCTGTTGACTCGATATAGACCCGCATTCACTCACCCCCGCATTCAACCCCGTTGACTGCCATTGACTCCGTCATTTCCAGTCCATCAGGGCGTTTGCCGAGTCCAGTCATCCATGGCTATGGCGCATCAGAAGAGGTGGTCCATTGGTACTGAAAATTGACCAGCATTGACTTCCATTGACTCCCATCGACTCCCATTGACTCCCATTGACTCCCATTGACACCTATTGACCGCCATTCATTGCAGTCCATCAGGGCGTTCGCCGAGTCATCCATGGCCATGGCCTACCAGAAGAGGTGGCCGCTGTATCTCAGCACCAAAAACACCATTCTCAAGACTTACGATGGCAGGTGTGTGTGTGTGTGTGTGTAGGTGGGAGGGAAGAGGAGGGGGGGGGGGGGGGGGGGGGGGGCGTTTGTGTCAACTCAAACGTCACCTGGTATCAGAAGAGGTGGCCGCTGTATCTCAGCACCAAGAACACCATTCTCAAGACTTCCGACGGCAGGTGTGTGCGTGGGTGTGTGTAGGTGGGAGGGAAGAGGAGGGGGGGGGGGGGGGGGGGGGGCGTTTGTGTCAACTCAAACGTCACCTGGTATCAGAAGAGGTGGCCGCTGTATCTCAGCACCAAGAACACCATTCTCAAGACTTCCGACGGCAGGTGTGTGTGTGGGTGTGTGTAGGTGGGAGGGAAGAGGAGGGGGGGGGGGGGGGGGGGGGGGGCGTTTGTGTCAACTCAAACGTCACCTGGTATCAGAAGAGGTGGCCGCTGTATCTCAGCACCAAGAACACCATTCTCAAGACTTCCGACGGCAGGTGTGTGTGTGGGTGTGTGTGTGTGTGGCCAGAGTGGGGAGCGGAAGGGGGGGGGTTGAGTTGGCTCAAAGGCACAGCGTATCGGTTGAAAGAGGTGGCTGGTGTATCTGAGCACCAACAACACCATCCTCAACTTTTGAGGCGCCTCAAAAGTTTTGAGACGTCTCAAAAGGTGGCCGCTGTATCTGAGCACCAACAACACCATCCTCAAGACCTATGACAGCAGGTGGGTAGCAGAGTGTGGATAATTGTGAGCTTTAACACGTGTAAGTCAAGTCACACGTTTCATGTCACAGCCCTCGCACATACTCTCCCCCGTCCACGCAGGTTCAGGGACATTTTCCAAGATGTGCACGAGAGCAAGTGGAGGGAGAGTTTTGTTTGAGGTTGATTTTGAGAAATGGATTACATCAACCTCGGTTTTGAGAATTCTCAAAATCAACCTCATTTTCCAAGAGGTGTACGAGAGCAAGTGGAGGGAGAAGTTTGAAGCAGCAGGGGTGTGTGAAAGAAGGAGTGTTTCGAGACGTCTCAAAACACTCCTTCTTTCAAGTGGAGGAAGAAGTTTGAAGCAGCAGGGGCGTGTTACAAGCTCCGGCTGATCGATGACATGGCAGCCTTCCGCCTTGAGAGCCCTGGGGCGTTGTCAACGCACAAGTCATGCCCCCTCCCTGCCTCCTCCCCTCCCTCCCTGCTTCCAAGTTCAAGGACATATTCCAGAGTGTGTACGAGAGCAAGTGGAGGGCGAGGTTGAAGCAGCGGGGGGGTGTGGTACGAGCACCGGCTGATCGATGACATGGTGGCCTTCTGCCTCGTCAAGGGCCCGAGAGGGCTCTCTGTTCACAAGCCATGTGTTCTCCCTTTCCTCTCTGCACCCCCTGCTTGCAGGTTCAAGGACATATTTCAACAGGTGTACGAGAGCAAGTGGAGGGAGCGGTTTGAGGCAGCAGGGGTGTGGTATGAGCACCGGCTGATCGATGACATGGTGGCCTTCTGCCTCAAGAGCCTGGGGGCGTTCGTGTGGGCGTGCAAGAACTATGATGGGGACGTGCAGAGCGACATGTTGGCTCAGGGTATGTGGGTAAGCAGAGCAGAGATGATAGCACCTGGATCTGGTGCACAAGCACTGTGATGTGGACGTGCAAGAACTATGATGGGGACGTGCAAGAACTATGATGGGGACGTGCAAGAACTATGATGGGGACGTGCAAGAACTATGATGGGGACGTGCACAGTGACATGCTGGCACAGGGTGGGTGGGTGGGTGGGTGGGTGGGGGTTGAAAAGGCTGAGAGGAGTGCACATGCTGGTGTGTGTGCTCTTTGTCAAAGAGCCAATGCATGTTCATGTGGACGTGCGAGAATGCTACTGCGAGTAGTGCTGCATAGCAATGCGCGGCGTGCCTAGCAATGCGCGAAACAAATGTGGGCCGAGAGAGGCAGTGCAAATCCGCACATGTCTGTTGCGTTTCTGCTGTGTGCCATTTGCTGTTCATCGCAGCATTTTTATGACAAAGCCGCTCTGGAATTCATGCGAAATCATTAGGCGCCTCAAAAAGCACCTGACTACACGCGGATTCCAATTCGGTCATGTGCTGTTTGTCATTGCATGTTTCTGACAAAAGCTCAGCGGGGTTCCTCTTGCAGGTTTTGGCTCCCTTGGCCTCATGACCAGCATTCTGGTGAGTGACCGCTCGTCTTGCTGTGGCAGTATCGCTGTGATTTGATTTTGAAAAGCATTCTGGTGAGTTGTGAGAAAAGCCTTCTGGTGAGTGACCGCCCGTCTTGCATGTAGAATCGCTGCATCTCAGCAGTATCGCTGTGCCAATGTCAATATACGTAATGTGATTCTGGTAAGCATTTTGGTGACCCTAAACCCACGATTAACACAATGGCCTGAAAAAAAATCTGCCTGCCAGGTGTGTCCGGATGGGAAGACAGTGGAAGCGGAGGCGGCGCACGGCACGGTGACGCGGCACTACCGCGTGCATCAGAAGGGCGGGGAGACGAGCACCAACAGCATCGCCTCCATCTTCGCCTGGTCCAAGGGGCTCGCGCACCGGTGGGTGGGGGGTGGGTTGGGGACAATGCCATGGGTAGATTGGTGCAGCACTAACAGCTTGGTGTGCTGTACTGTACGAAAGTAGATGGACCATCACCAGCACCAACAGCATTGCCTCCATATTTGCCCGGTCCAAGGGGCTTGCACACCGGTGGGTTGGGGACAATGGCATGGGAAGATTGGCACAGCACCAACAGCCTTGTCTCCATCTTTGCCTGGTCCAATCCAAGGGGCTCACTCAAAGGTGGGTTGGGGATGGGCTAAGAGCAGGTGGACCGTGGGAGTAAGGGAACGGTGTGTGTTGATCAGGTTCTTGCTCCCTGCCCCTTTCTTCCCTACTTTGCATCTCTCCCCCCACCACCACCCCATACCACCATTTTCCAGTGCCTCTTTGGACGGCAACAGCAGGCTCGCGGCATTTTGCAAGCAGCTGGAGGCGGCGTGTGTTGACACGGTGGAGAGCGGTGGAATGACCCGCGACCTGGCCCTGCTGGTGCATGGGAACAAGTGTGTTGAGTCTTTAGCTAGTCAGTTACTTATGACATAGCGGGTGGACTTATTGGTGATGCAGCTTAGTTATCTCAGCGTTCATTGCGTCTGTTTATGGGTGATTGGGGTCTTGTCCCGCTCTCATTATCCGTCTGTCCCTTTATTCAGCCTCCCTCCCCCCTTAGTATTCTGAGATCCCGTTTGACTCATGCAATTGCACGGCAGTCCCATCCCCTCATTATGCATTTGCACAGTTTCCCTCTTGTTGAACCCACCGACCAACCCCCCACCACCCCCCCCATCACTCCGCCACCCCTCTCTCCGCACCGCATTCTGAATCCCCGCTTGACTACCTCATCTCTACAATGCAGGGTGTCGCGGGCAGATTACCTCAACACAGAGGAGTTTATAGATGCAGTTGCTGCGTGCCTTAGACAGCGCCTGTTGAGTGGAGGGGAGGGCTGTGATGGGCGTAGTAGGTTGTAATGGCAAACATAGGTAGTGCAAAGACGATGCAAGTGGCCATTTCCTTTTTTCTTTTCTAATGTACATTGCAGGCTTGCATGGCCAATCATTGTTGGTGATTGACTGCAACATTTTTCAGAGCACTCACACATTCATTACTTCCATACCCAAGGAAATTGACACTGTAATATTGGTACAACAAGAACATGCGATTGTGTAGTACTTTCTTGTAAGGCGTACATCAGAGACACCTCGCAGCCTTCCACTGACCTCACACACGCTCGAGCAGTCGCATCATACATCCTTACCACTTACCCGCCCGGGTTCCACAATACTAGAGCCGAGCCGCTTAGATTCGCGCTAGGCGACGCAGCAGACGGGTGCGTTGATCTAATGGGAAAGGCGAAATGGACGGGCCTGACGGATTTGACGGGCCAACTAGCCTTTCTGCGTCTAACCCAAGCCACCCAGTTTCGGACCAGCTCAGCCAATCACGGATTAGCAGCTCCATGACGTCCCCCTCTCGCTCCGAAGCCACCAGAAGCATACGTCGCTATTCCGAGTCCGGGCGTCTCTCCCACCGCTGCTGCGTCAGCTCCACGCTAGCACGGATTCGGAACGCCCTTTCGGCGAACCTTGAAGGTATCGTCAGCCGTGTCGGCGAACTTTGAAGGATACAGCCTCATGGATCCGGCGGATTGCGAAGGCGACTTGGTCGCAGCGCCTCGGAATCTTATCCAGAAACCGGGACCGCGGAATGTTCTTCGCTGAAATTCGCGTCCAGGCATCATCGGGTTGGGCTGGTTCGTTCTCAGTGCGAACGAATCCGACTCGCGCGGGTAGTGTGACGCGTCGAGCACTCCTCCCAACGGTATGTAAGAAGGCGCTAGTAACATATATTGAATTCATCCACTACCAGTGCTTAACAGTCAAAAGCTCATCATACAGCAGGTAGAGCAAACTCGACAGATCCATCTCATCCTCGCTCGCCGTCTCTCCCCTCGCGGCGAATGGCTTTTCCGTCTCGCTCCCTGACGCTCGTGGCCGTTTTCCTCGCGGCCGCCGCTCTCCTCGCCGCTCTTCCTTCCGCGAGCGCCGCGGGAGTGAATTACAGCAAGAGCGGGCTCGACTGGGAGGTGTGTGAGTCGCCGCCTAGACCCGTGTGGGTGGGTGGTGTGAGAGCATGGGAAGGGTTGAAAGGTGTTATGATGGGTTGCAATCATGTACATGTGTATTGAGTGCTTTGGGCTCGCTACCCAGGGGTTACGCTTTCTGCTAAGCTGCGTGCAGAGTCCAATCCGTCATTATCCGCCAGCGCGTGTATGACTCAGGCAAGGACCCCCTCTCATTCCCCTTGCTCACCTCCCCAATCTCACTCCCTGTTTTTCCTCATCTTTACCGGCCAGGGCGTGTGCGAGTCGGGCAAACGGCAGTCGCCAATCAACATCGTGATGGATGAAGCAAGGACTCACCCCCTTCCTCACTCCCTTTGCTAAAACTCTCCTCCCTCATCTCGTTCCTCTTCCCGCAGGGCGTGTGCGAGTCGGGCGAGCGCCAGTCGCCCATCAACATCGTGATGGATGAGGCAACCACGGTGGACGCACCGGAGAAGTTTGCCCTGGAATATGACTCCGCGCCCACTTCTGCCACAGTCGGCAACAAGGGCTACACCGTCCGTGAGTGTGCCCACCCTCGCTTCCTCTCATTCCTCGTTTCTTCCCGCTCATAATTTCCTCTCAATGTTGTGTAGGACTTGAAAACACCTTCTTGGAACGGATTCTTCCATCCCCTCTCCTCCCTCCCTTTCTCTCTCTCTCTCTCTCTCTCTCTCTCTCTCTCTCTCTCTCTCTCTCTCTCTCTCTCTCTACCTCACTCGCGTTCTCTCTCCGCCCTCCCTCTGTCCCTCCAGAGGTGGTTCCCAACCCCAACCACACCTACAAGCTGCACATCGCCAGTGGAACCTACGAGTTGAAGCAGGTGCACGTGCACGCCTTCTCAGAGCATGCCATTAACGGGCTCTTCGCGCCCATGGAGGCGCACTTTGTGCACGCCCACACCGACGACCCCTCCAAGCTCGCTGTCGTGGGGATCATGCTCCGTCTGCAGCGCGATGATCATACGAGCGATTGGGTTCACTCGTGAGTGGCGTCTTGTCGAGTCAGACTAGAAATTGACTTGTGCGTGAGCACGTGCATGCCATCAACGGGCTCTTCGCGCCCATGGAGGCCCACTTCGTGCACGCCCATGTCGACGACCCGTCGAGGCTCGCTGTCGTGGGCATTATGCTGCGTCTGCAGCGCGACGACCATGCGAGTGGCTCTAGATCATGCGTCTTCTGATTCTTTTTGTTTTCTTCCATTGTCTCCGTCTTCTCCGAGACTTGGGGTTTCTTGCTCTTTTACTATGCTTGGCACTCCATGGGAGTCTTGAAATACGCTATTCTTGTTTTTCACTATACATCGTCCTTTTCCATCACCACCTGTATCCTACACAGCTGGTTGGGCAAGACCCTCTCGGAGGTGAATGGGACAGCCACCATTGACGTTCCCAAGAACTTCTGGAGGGAGATGGTGGATGTGTCCATGGGGTTCTGGCGCTACCCCGGCTCGCTCACCACGCCGGGCTGCGATGAGATTGTTGAGTGGCACGTGCTGCGCAAGGCCCAGTTCCTCTCCGTTGCTCAGGTGAGATGTGCTAGGATTTCGGAAATAAAATTCGTTACATGGTAAGAATGGTGTTCCATGTTTCATCGCTCTCGTCCCAATCCTCACTACCCACTGTGTCCCCACATGCTGTTCACTTCTCAACAGGCTGCGACGTTCATGAATCTGATGGCCAGCATGAACAAGGAGCGTACCAACAACCGCATGCCCGAGCCACTCAATGGCAGGAAAGTCACTTACTTCACTAAAGTCGCAGCCTGATTACGGCCAAGCATCGTCCTGGTTGATGGGCATGGTTATAAAGATGGGACATGGTCAGGTCCTGGAACCGATGTATGATTTTCTATTGCAATGGATTAACATGTTCAGTTCCGTAATATGCAATTCCTTAAGCAGAAACATGGTTTCTAGGTAACAGCATCTTCTTGTTTCCTTTCGTACAAAAACACTGGCTTTGATACAGTTATATACAGAATATGGACTATCGTTTCATGTTTTACATAGCATCCAACTTGCTTTGCCTCATCTTTTTGAAGCATGTTTGCCTTCTTGCACCAATCCGAATTCGGTGTGGTCAGCAGTTGGCCGACCTCGAACCTCGGAATGGTTGTGATCGTGTGATGATTTGCGCGCACCGACACGCACCGTGGCAAGATTGCGCTTCGGCTCCGAGTCGCGGTCACACATAAGCATCACCGCCCTCCATTAGGCACTGTGTACGGTCAACAGCATCTGCTGTCCCCCAGCCCTCTCTGCGACAATTCAGGATTCCAAAGCGACAGTGAACGACGACAACACTCCCAGGGCGAAAAACGTGGTGCGCCATGACCAAGAGGGCGTTGCCGTGCGACACATCAAATGCTGTCGTTGCTTGCGCCTCTGCTCTTTGCTCCAGCTCGTGGCGGAAATCGTCCACCCTTTCAGGCGCGATTTCCAGCACCATCCTTCACACATCCAGGGGGAACAGGTCACGACTCGTGGAGTGGTGCTTGTGTGCTCGCACAAAAGCCACAGGAATCGATTATTCTTATCAGTCACTCTGCTTACGCCATACGCCAAGGCCCCCTGGCACTTCAGATTGTTCTTAGCAGAACCGTCGACGCCTGTTTGTGCATAGACGTAGCGTCAAGCCCAGCATAGGTTCACATGGATCGCAGACCACTTCTGGTCGTTCTATTACTTGCGCTATCATCCAGCGCACATGCATGGAACTATGTCAAGAGTGGCCAGGACTGGACGGTACGTCCCGCGAGCGCTTAGTACCCTGTACTGATTATGTTTTGTCTTTTTTGGCATTTCCGTTTGTCCCGCCCGCCAGCTATAAGTTATCCGCATTGGAGAAAAGGAGCTCGTCTCAATACATGCGTGCCCACGGTGCATTCGTGGCGACGAGCTCGTGCTGTTCCGCGGGAGATTAATCATCGGTTTTGTTGAGTTCCAAGAATAAAACATATCAGCGAAACCGCCAGCGGGAGATCAACCCATCCATCTTGCGGCCGTCACCTGTTTTGTCCCTTCACCGTTTTCCACCACCATATTCCCTCTCCCCCCTCCCCCCCCTTCCTCCTCCCTCTCTCCCCCCCTCTCTGCGCGTTCTTTGTCTTGTCAACAGGGTGCGTGCCAAACGTCGCGCGCGCAATCGCCGATTAACATCGAGCCGTCGATGGCGGTGAAAGGCAAGGACCTGCGCTTCCTCAACATCAGCTACGCCCTCAGCAAATCGCTCACCGTTTCTAACTTCGGCTTCACAGGAGGTACGCCATCCCACCCTAGCACAATCACACAGCTCTCGACTTTAGAAGGAAAGTTCACCCCACTTTTGTCTGATTTGCGGCTCCGTCAGCGTCGTCTTGTTTCTGTCTAACCGTCGTCAGCCCGATTTTTTTCGTATTTTTTTTCTGTTGTCTCCACCAGGGGTGCAACCGCAAGCCGGCACGGAGAATTTTATGTACACGTCAACGGGCAAGTTTCGTCTGCTCGGCATTCTGCTGCGCGCCTCGTCGGAGCACACCATCCTCGGCGCGCCCGCGCCGCTCGAGGCGCACTTCGTGCACGAAAACGTCGCCAACCCCGCGAAGGGCGCAATCATTTCTGTGATGATCGTGATTCACAAGAACAACGTCCGAAACCCGTGGCTCGACAAGTGAGATCCCTTTCCGAATACAACGCAAACTGTCTGCATAAGCAAAACATACGTTTATTTTGTCTCATTAACGACAAAGGGATTTCACATGCCTTTATTCCCCACCTCCCCCTACCACCTCTCACCTTCCTATTTCCTTCTGCCTTTCCCCGTCCTTCCCCGCCCTTATCCGCCCGTAAACCCCCCTGATCGCCTGCGCAGGTGGCTGCCGTACATTCCCAAGGCGGTGAACACGTCAGTGTCCGTGCCCGCAACGACCAACTTCAAGGAGGCGTTGAACGTCAAGTACGGCTTCTGGTATTACCGCGGCTCCACCACGTACCCGCCCTGCGCGCCCAACATCGAGTGGTTCATCCTCAAGCGCGGCCTCTACGGCTCCGTCGAGCAGGTGAGCGTAGGCGCTACGATTGATTTTGTCACATCTCTTTCCAAGTTCCGGAGCATTTGGTTAGCATTGGTTCGGCATCACCAATTTCCAGTTTTGGTTGCGAGAATCTTCCTGATGCACGGGCCGATTTATCTGCCCCAACCAGCCTTCCTCTGAAACACGTGAAACTGATGAAACTGATTTCTGTTCTGTTCAGATCGAGGGGTACATGAACCTGCTCGCCGCATCCAGCGGTCAGCGCACCAACAACCGTCTCCCTAGGCCAATCAACGGCCGTACTATCATCTCGTACCCCAAGCAGCGCAAACCGAAACGGTTGTAGGGTTCTAGACATCGCGTTTAGAAGGTCCTAGAATCGTACATTAGACGCCCTGTTCCGGAGCCGAATAAAATGCTAAAAATCTACTAAGTAGGTTTCCCTATTTTAGCTGTATGAATCGCACTAATTTAGTAAGAATGTGTATCGCGGAGTGTACTGAATTGAATGCTGACTCATGTGGAACCCCCAACTCCTCAGGGTTGGGTTGTGCATGGCTAAGCAATGTGTCTCGAGCCGCCGGCAACGTGTTGAGCGCCTGATGGATGCTGCAAGCAGCCTCGACCTAGATTGCCTCGCTTCCACTACTTGCACTTGCGTGACCCGCGTCGCACTGAAAAAATCTACATGTAGCAGAACCCTAACAGTCCGTTCGAGTTCAAAACTACCATAGCTCCGTTATCCTCCGTTCTCTGCTTCCCGAGACAGAACCCAGCTCTGACTGAGCAGTCTCCTTTCTCCGTCCCTGGGCCCGTTGGATCCAACGGCAACATGCAAGAGCCCCACACCCAAGAGCCCAGGCACGCAGACGGGACACAGCAGCAAGTCCGCCGCGAATCCAAATCGCCACCACCAGCGTCGACACTGTCTCGAGATGAAGCGTCCCTCAGGAGCAGCAAGGCCCCCACCCCTGCTGCAGGCACTCCCCTTCCACGCGCGACCTCGGCACCTGTGGGTGCTTCTTCTACGCCTTCAAAGGAGGACCCAGCCGCTGCAAAGCCAGGTAGCAAGAGCCTGGCTGAGCTTGTAAGGGATACGGATCTGGAGCATTTGCAATTCATTCCCATCAGAACAATGACATTGCATTCTAGTTCATCACGCTAGTTAACAGGCACCACACCAACAATTCTACAGCAGTGTTTTTGGAGTCACGGTTTTTCAGCTTTCATACTAAATGCCTCCTCTAGTCAAGATGAATCGCGCAATTACTAAAAAGTGTAGCTATTGCATGCCAGTCGATAATTCGTCCTCCTGACGTGTCAATGGCAAATTTAGTCCACTTGGAGGATAGGGAGGAAGTGGTGGGACTTTCCTAGCATCAGCAAGGCGCTGGCTGGGTTGGGAGAAAGCCAATGTCGCGCTTCGATTTGAATCGCGTCGCTTCGCATGTTTATTCGAGTCGCACCCAATGCAATTGCAATCTGCACGGGAATACAATTTCAGCAGCAGCACACTGACCAACCCACCCACCACAAATATCTCTCACCCACGCAGTCTCGCATCATTTCGGAAACTACTGAATTTTAACTGCAAGAATCTAGAGAAACGCGCATCTGCATCTGACGAATTCCCCGCACCACGCGATTATGGACAGGGTCAAGGAAATTTTTGGCGGAGAGAAGAAGCGGGAGGAGTCTCGCGAAGGCGAGTACGGATACGGCTCGCGCGGAACAGCTGCAGGGGAGCCAGAATACGGTGGCCACGGCCAGCAGCATCGCCACGGGCACGAGTACGAGCGCGAAACGCCCGGATACGGCGGAGGCTCTACCAAACGCTCGGGATATTCCGGTGTGACAGGTCGCGAGAGAGGCACGGAGTATGGCGGCACGGGCCCGACTGGATACGGTGGTGAAACTGGCTATGGAACCTTTTCCAGTAGTGAAGGCGGCGGTTTAGGCGGACGTCATCATGGCACCCGCGAAGAGACGACCGGCTATGGCGGAACGACGGGTTGCGGAGGGATGACTGGGGGAGGTACAACTGGATATGGCGGCACGGCTGGGGGAGGTACAACCGGATACGGTGGTACCACTGGTGTAGGCACAACCGGGTACAGAGAACGTCACGGAGAGCGCGGATACGGGGAGCGAGGTTACGGGGAGCGCGAACACGGGGAGCGCGCATACGGGGAGCGCGGATACGAGGGACACGAGGAACGTCTTGGAGGTCGTGGTGAAGAACGATTGACCGAGGAAGAGGTAATGTTATTATTTTCCCTTCCTTTTTTTGTCAGTTTTTTATTGCAAAACGTGTTTTTACAGTCAATACAGCATCAGTTGTCGCTTCCTTTCCTATCCTCTTTCGTTTCTCGGTACGCTCTGAGCAACAACAGAAGATGCGCAAGGAGTACGAGGGGCACAAACGTGGCGAGCGCATCGGCGAGGCGATTGCGGCTGGTGCTGCAGCGTATGCGGCACATGAAAGGCATGAGAGGAAGGAGGACGAGGAGGATATCAAGGAGAGGCAGAGGGAGGCCGAGGGAGGTCACAAGAAGCACGGCTGGTTTGGCTAGAAGATTTGCTTTGTACTGTATGTCAGTTCTGGAAGTAGTAGTGTTGTGATTGTGAATGTCAACTGACACACGTTGTACAACTGAATTTGCTGTGCATTGTTTCTATGTTCTGTTCCTTGCCTGCTGTTGTGCGATGACACTGCAATCCAGTTGCCACCAATGCCAAATATGGACTAAGTTAATCCCAACTTGTTACCAGCAAGCATTATACCGGTATGTCCATATTACTCGTAACCACTTCACCAGCAACCAGTTTACCACCTTCTCCCGCCAAACTCTGACCAAACACAAAGCGTAGACTAAACCCTCCCCCAAAAATCATCCTATATTGCTGAGTCAACAATCTCAAAAAAATGTACTACTGGTACTCTACCCAAACACGTTCTCGCCCATCCAGCCAACTACCTAAAACCAACAATCTGACGTTCTCAACAAACTAATACCACCTCCAACTCCACTGCACAACCCACAAACTGGCACCAGCTACCCCTCAGTTCATACCCAACACCTCCAGCCCCCTCCCCGTCCATCAACCGGTCCTTCAGCTCACTTGTCGTCACCTTCCCATACTCCTCACACTCTTACTCATGCACAAACTTCACGAACAAGTCTACCAGCTGCCCCTTTGTGGGCGTCCTCATTTCAAGCACATCCAACCCCCTCCCCTCGTCCGTCAACCTGTCCTTCAACTCACTCTTTGTCATCTTCATCGCAATCTCCCTCCGCCTCTTCGCCACATCAGACTCCCCCGCCACATCAGCAGCCGTCACCGCACCCACCCCAGCCGCCGGCCTCCCTCTCCCCCTCCTCCCTCCTCCACCCCTCCTGCCCCTCCCTCTCCCCCTCCCCCCTTTGCTACTCTCCGCCTCGTCCCCCTCAGCTCGTTCCTTTCCCTCCCCAGCACCAAACGCCCCTCCGAACGAGGCTGAATCCATATCCATTTCACTGCCCTGCCCTGTTGCCTGGGCTGACTCAAACCCTGTATTGCCTGACGCTGCGGGTGACGGTGCTACCACAACTCCTCCTCCTCCTGCTGCTGCTGCTGCCCCGACTGGTGGCGCTGCTGCTCCTGACGCACCAGCAACACCAGCGGCAGTAGCGCCAGCGGAAGGAGCAGCAGGTGCCCTCTTGCTCGCCCCCCTGCCTCTCCGCTTGCCTCGTTCTCCCCCTGCTGCTGCTGTCCCTGCAGCATCGCCTGTCACAGCACTATCACCCGCCCCTTCCACGCCTGCCCCTGCACCACCCCCAGCAGTACCACCTGCAACAGTTAACCCTGCCTCAGCCGCACCTTCTTCTCCACCAGTCCCACCTTCCCCAGCAGCACCGCCCTCCCCTGCAATCCCGCCTTCACCAGCAACACCCGTGCCCAGTCTCGCCCTCTTCCTCTTCCTCCCCGCCTCCTCTCCCTCCTCCACCTCCATCTCCTCCGCTCCCTCGCCCTGCCCAGCACCCCCCCCTCCCCTCCCCTCTCCCCCTCTCCCTCTCCCTCTCCTGATTCCCCCTCATAGCCACTTCCAGCATCCCCCTTAGCCGCGAAATCTCCTCCTCTCTCACTCTCACCACCCCCTTCATCTCCTCCCTCTCGCTCCTCACCACCCCCATCTCCACCCCCATCCCCTCCACCACCTGTCTCAACCGCTCTAACTCCCCTTTCAGCCGCTCCATCTCAGTCCTCGCTTCTCCCTCCTTCCTCCTCCACCCCTCCCTCTCCACCTCACACACAGCCAGCATTGCCATCGTTTCCCCAACCTCCTCCTTCCTCCTTCCCACCTCTCCCTTCAACTCCTCAATTTCCCTCACCATACCTTCCACCTTCCCCTTCCCCTCCTCCTCCCCTTCTGCTGCCCTCAATCTCAAACCCTCTAGTTCCCTCTCAAGCTCCCTCGCTCTCCTTTCGGCAACCTCCGCCCTCTTTCCTGCCACCTCAGCTGCTGACTGTGCCACCTGGGCCTCCTCCATTGCCATCTGGAGATCTTTTGCTGCTGAGTCAGCACGAATGCAAGCCTGGCGTGCCAGCTCAGCCTCGCGCCGGGTTGCCAGCTCAGCAGCGGTCCGTGCTGACTCAGCCTGACGCAGCTGGCGCTCCATCTTCTCTGTCGCTTCTTCTGCTGTGGCCTTGGCCTCCCGAGCAGCCTGGTTGAAAAAGAGAAACATTAGGGAAGATAGGTTCAGGAAACGAGAGAAGCGTGGCCACCCGTGCAAGCAATGTGGCCTACTCATCTAAAAAGGAAGAGTCCTATCCCCTTCCTCTCCTTCTTCTGCTACGATCTTAGCCTTCTGTGCATCCCGGGAGCATCGGGGGTTAAGGAAGATGAAGCGGGGAGGGTTTGTGAGGAGCAACAGAGAAGAAGAGTAGACAGATGGAAGAAACGGGTAGAGATAAAGGGATGAATCCCATACCTCTCCTTTCTCTGCTGAGGTATTGGTTGGCAGTGTGGCATGGGAAAAGCGGGGGTTGGGAAGGTGCGAGGTGTTGTGATGAAGGATGGGAGCACAAAGAGAGGCCCACGGATTAACGTGCAGAGACTTGCACAGACGAAGGCCCAAATCAGGAAATACCACATGAACAATGGCGTTTCTGTTTCAAATGTCTAAAAAAAAACACCTGGCACATGAACTTTATGTGAATCCCAAACGAGGCAATACTGCACGCTCTTGCTCGCCCCTCTCATGCCCTCCTCAGCCTCCTTCTGGTATCTCTCATCCATATTCAAAAGGCATACGCATGTCTACACGGCCATACCTGCACGCTCTTGCTCGCGCTGCCAGCCGTCCTGCTCGCCTCCCTCATGCTCTCCTCTCCTCAGCTTCTTTCTGCCAACTCTCGTCCATTGTTGAAGGGATATGCATGCAAACAAGCCCATACCTGCACGCTCTTGCTCGCGCTGCCAGCCGTCCTGCTCGCCTCCCTCATGCTCTCCTCTCCTCAGCTTCCTTCTGCCAACTCTCGTCCATTGTTAAAGGGATATGCATGCAAACAAGCCCATACCTGCACGCTCTTGCTCGCACTGCCAGCCGTCCTGCTCGCCTCCCTCATGCTCTCCTCTCCTCAGCTTCCTTCTGCCAACTCTCGTCCATTGTTAAAGGGATATGCATGCAAACAAGCCCATACCTGCACGCTCTTGCTCGCGCTGCCAGCCGTCCTGCTCGCCTCCCTCATGCTCTCCTCTCCTCAGCTTCCTTCTGCCGACTCTCGTCCATTGTTAAAGGGATATGCATGCAAACAAGCCCATACCTGCACGCTCTTGCTCGCGCTGCCAGCCGTCCTGCTCGCCTCCCTCATGCTCTCCTCAGCCTGCCTCTCTCTCGCCTTTGCCTCCACCAGAGCCTTTTCCATTGCTGCCAGCCGTGCTGCTTGCGACTGCAATGGGAGAGATGGGAAGAAAGAGAGGTATCAGGTGGCCTGAGAATACTCGAAAATCCCTCAAGTGTGTTGGTGCGACTTTTGGGAATTCTCAAAAGTCGCACCAATATGGAAGAAAGAGTGGTATCAGGTGGCTTGAGAATACTCGAAAATCCCTCACTGTGCCACGTGTCACAATTCCCACCAGCTCACCTCCAGCTTGTTCTTCGGCTCAATTTCGCCCCCCCAACACCCCTCTCATCCGCGTCCAACCCCTCCCCCCTACTTATGTTTTTTGAGAATTCTCAAAAAACATAAGCTTGTTCTTCGGCTCAATTTCACCCCCCCAACACCCCTCTTGTCCGCATCCAACCCCTCCCCCCTAGTTCCGCATCACCTCCAGCTTCACCTGCAACTCACTACCCTCTCCATCATCCCCTTCTCCGACCCTCTCAACCGCACTCAACCACCAACCCCTTCATTCACACCGACTCACCTCCAGCTTCACTTTCAGCTCGCTCGCCTCTGCCACTACTTTGGACGCCTCTGCTCTCAACTGCTGCTCCAACGCACTCTACCATCACTGCTGCACCCCTCTCAACCTCACTCAACCCCACTTCCCTTGCACGCACACCGACTCACCTCCAGCTTCACTTTCAGCTCGCTCGCCTCCGCCGCTGCTTTCGACGCCTCTTTTCGCAGCTGCTGCTCCAATGCGCCCTGCCAGGAGGATAATGCGATGTGGCATAACAAGAAGGTGTTCAAATCGGTGTGGCAGCCTTTGAGGCGCCTCAAATGTCATACTGCGGTGGGGCATAACAAAGAAGGTGTTAAAATCGGTGGAACAGTGCCAGGGATGGGGGGGCCGGGGGTGTTTCATGACTGGATAGCAGACAAGGAGCATGCCCAGCTGAATTAAAATCACCAAATGCCCATTCCCACCCCACCCGAACCCACCCCACCCGACCCCATGCCACCCCACCCCCATCCCAGCATCGCACCTTCTCCTTCTGAATCGCCGCCACTTCAGCCTGCCTCCGCTGCTTCTCCCTCTCCACCTCCCCTCTTAGCCCCTCCCTCTCCCCAACCACCTTCTCCACCTCCCTCTTCCCCTCCCCCACCTCCTTCTCATACATACCCCTCCACTTCACCTTCTCCCCTTGCTCCTCTCCCACCCTCCTCTTCGCCTCCTCAAGCTGCCCCTTCACTTTCTCAACCTCCCCACTCACTCTCTTCACCTCCTTCTCCCCTCCCTCCCTCACTCTCTCCACCTCCTTTCTCAACTCTGCACACTCCCTCTCTCGCTCATCCGCCCTCCTCCTCCCCTCCTCCATCTCCTTCCTCATCCTCTCCCTCTCCTCCCTCCCTTCTCCAACCGCCCTATTAGCGGCTGCCAGCTGTCCTTCCACTGTCGCCACCCGTTTCTTCCAGTCCTCAGCTGCGGCGGCCTCCCGAGCCGCGGCCGCAGCCTCGGCGGAGGCCCGAGCCTCGGCGGCCTGCTTGTCCTTGAGTGCAGACGAGGCTTGCTGCCTTGCTTCGGCGACCTCCTTTTCAGCCGAATCCAAAACAAGCCCGCGCATACTGTGCGTGAGGGGATGGGAAAGGGGGAAGGGGGTAAGCTTTGAGAACAATGACGAAAATCACAACTTCATTATGCTAACAATGGCAGGAAAAGGGGATACGGATGACATTGGGACGATCACAACCACCCGACAGTCACTCCACAACAACCACACCGCACTCAATGCTGACCTGGCAACGAGGAACGCTGACAAGCAGCGCCACTTGGCAGCGCCCGACATGGACGACTCGTACGCCGCCAGCTCAGCAATCAGCGCGTGCACCACATCAGCAGTCGCCGCCCGCGGAGGCCCCCTGGCGAGCCCCTTGACCTTGGCCTCTAGTGCATCGAGATACCGCTTGCACCTCACTTCTGCCTCTGCTGCCACCCGCTTTAGCACATCCTGAATAGGGCCAGGGGGCACAACAAGGCACAGTACGACGCAGGGGGGAAGCACAAGGCAGAACGCATGGAAAGGCATAAGAAATGAGTTCAATCGCATGGTGTCAGCAATGGCACGCCCGTGGAGGCCCCCCTGGCGAGCCTCTTGACCTTGCCCTCTAGTGCATCCAGGGACCGCTTGCACCTCACTTTCGCCTCTGCTGCAACACGCTTCAACATGTCCTGAATAGGTAGGTCCAGGGGGCACAACAAGGCACAGAGCGGCACAGAGGGGAAGCACGAGGCACAACACATGGAAAGGCATAAGCAATGAGTTCAATCGCATGGTGCCAGCAATGGCACGCCCGGGGAGGCCCCCTGGCGAGCCCCTTGACTTTTGCCTCTAGTGCATCCAGATACCGCTTGCACCGTACCTCCGCCTCTGCTGCCACTCGCTTTAGCACATCCTGCTCAAACACAGATGGGAACAGCGAGGCAGAGTGGGGCACAACGAGAGGCCTTTGACTTTGGCATCCAGAGCATCGACGTGGAGTGTGCATCGCATTTCAGCCTCTGCTGCCTCTACGACAATAACACCACCCCCACCCCCAGCCAGCCACTCCATTCCATCCCACCCCATCCCACCTCACTCCACCCCACCCCACTCCACCGCACTGTGCCTCACCTCGAACCTCTTCCCAGCCTCCTCCCTGAGCTTCTCCTCGTACTTGTGTCGGGCCTGCCCCTCCCCCACCGCCTCCTCCCTGAAAGCCGCCTCTGCTGCTTGCAGTGCTGCCCTGTGGTGAGCCCTCAGGTCGTCCTCCTGGGGAGGGAGTGAGGGAGGGAGTGAGAGGAGGGAGTGAGAGGAGGGAGTGAGAGGAGGGAGTGAGAGGAGGGAGTAAGAGGAGAGTGAGAAACCGAGCAAGTTAGCAACAGCATCAGCAGTGGAGCACATCAACCGGCTCATTTCATATTGGAATGACTTTTTGAGATTAAGAGAACCACATGTGCCAGAAGAAAAGCAGAAAAGCGTACTGCAAGAGGCATGTCAACAACAAGCCCACCTCATCAGCAGAAGCGGGGCTGCCAAATGCTCTGCTATATGCCTCCAGTGCCACCTCAAACGCCCTGCGACACTCTGTTTCCTCCACACTCTGCGAACATCAATAATCACACGGAAAAGAGGGAGGAGGAGAGATGGGGGGTGAGGGAGCAGGAGAGAACGGCAAAGGCGGGGTTGGCGTGGAGAGAGAAGAGGAGGCGACGAGGAAAAAGAAGACACAAAATTCACAGATCAATGGAGGGAAAGGAGGCACACACACATACCCGGATCCAATTTCAAGCTGCCCGTGTAATTGGTAAGTTAAGGGGACTCTTGAAGTTCACTCACCAGCCAGGAGTTGAGGATGGTGATTTTTTAGGCGCCTCAAGAACCGATTTCAAGCTGCCCGTGTAATTGGTAAGTTAAGGGGACTCTTGACGTTCACTCACCAGCCAGGAGTTGAGGATGGTAATTTTTTAGGCGCCTCAATAACCGATTTCAAGCTGCCTGTGTACTTAGCAAGTTAAGAAGACTCTTGACATTCACTCACCAGCCAGGAGTTGAGAATGGTGGGCACAGCCCCGTTATTGAGTGCCTGGATATACGTCTGAGTGAGCCCAGCCAGCATTGGCCCCGTCATGACTGTGCCGCCCACCCTCTTGGGGCGAGCGCGCGCAAACACGGCCTGGGTGAAGGCATCTAACCCCTGCTTGAACTCTGGACGGAGCTGGTCCATCTGCACGCGGGGAGAGGTGGGAGGGGAAGGAGTGAGGGTTAAGGAGATGAAGTGAGGAGACAGCGCGCGCAAACACGGCCTGGGTGAAGGCGTCTAACCCCTGCTTGAACTCTGGACGGAGCTGGTCCATCTGCACGCGGGGAGAGGTGGGAGGGGAAGGAGTGAGGGTTAAGGAGATAAAGTGAGGAGACAGCGCGCGCAAAACACGGCCTGGGTGAAGGCTTCTAACCCCTGCTTGAACTCTGGACGGAGCTGGTCCATCTGCACGCGGGGAGAGGTGGGAGGGGAAGGAGTGAGGGTTAAGGAGATAAAGTGAGGAGACAGCGCGCGCAAACACGGCCTGGGTGAAGGCGTCTAAACCCTGCTTGAACTCTGGACGCAGCTGGTCCATCTGCACGCGGGGAGAGGTGGGTAGGAAGGTGATGGGTAAGGGGCATTGCAGGACAGGACGGGAAGAGAGGACCGACTGACACTACATACACCGCCTGGCTGGGTGAACGCACCTAACCCCTGCTAGAACTGAACTCACAGGCCTCACAGGCCTCACAGGCCTCTCTGGTTCACACCTCGAAAAACTCACGGGCAGGTGGTCGAGCTTCTGCAGCAGGCGCTCGCTGCTGATGGGGCGAACGAGAGCACGCAGAGCAAAGTACAGCACTAAGCTATAGAAGGGGGAAACACATGGCACAGCACCGCACCGCACAGCACAGCACGGCACTCACAGGCAGGAGGCCGAGCTTCTGCAGCAGGCGCTCGCTGCTTATGGGGCGCGCGAGAGCTCGTAGGGCTATTAGGAGGCTAGGAGGTATGGAACAAAGCAATACAAGGGGAAAGGACACCACACCCATAGAACAGCACAGCACAGCACAGCACATAGAACCGCACAGCACTCACGGGCAGGTGGTCGAGCTTCTGCAGTAGGCGCTCGTTGCTGATGGGGCGCACGAGAGCACATAATGGTACTAGGAGGTATAGACAAAGCAACACAAGAGGAAAGGACGCCACACACACAGCAAGGCACAGCATGTCAAACCTCACAGTACTCACGGGCAGGTGGTCGAGCTTCTGCAGCAAGCGTTCGTTGCTGATGGGGCGAACGAGAGCGAAGCAATCACGGTCGGGGAAGAGTGAGCGGATGGACTCGCGGATCTGCACGGATGACACGCAGAAAAAGGGGGAAGGAAGAGGATGTCTTTTCGTAAGCACACGCCTAAGGGAAAACCAGTCACGGTCAGGGAAGAACAAGCGGATGGACTCGCGGATCTGCACGGGTGAAAAAAGGGCAGAGAAGTTGGCTCGGATGGGAGTTAGGAATGACATGGGAGTTGGTAAGGCAAGGTCGGAAAGTGAGGTCAATGTGACTTCCATGGGAGTTAGGAATAAGACGGGAGTTGGTATTGGGAGGTGAAACACAAACGGCGAGAGTCGAGCACTCCAAACCGTGGTGCAAGCCATGCAATATTGCACAGGTGCTCGGAGAGAGAAGGAGGAAGTACAACAACGGAGCAACAGACTGAGGTTCCGTACCACAACCCACGCCTCACCACACCCCCACTGCGCCCCACCGCACCCCACCACCCCCCACCTGGTTCTTGGCGCGTGCGGACTCAGAGCCCTCCGCCATGGACTGCAACGCCGTCTCCAGGTGCATGCACAGCCCACGCCCCACGCCACGCCCCCCACACCACTATGCACACCACACCACGCACCACCACGCCTCACTACCCCTGACAACATCCCACCACGCCCCACCTGGTTCTTGGCCCGTGCGGACTCAGAGCCCTCCGCCATGGACTGCAACGCCGTCTCGAGATAGTCCCGCGGGGTTATCACCCGGCCATCCTCCGTGAGGTCAAAGTAAAAGTCCTGTGGAGAGGGTGGTGTGGGAATAAGAAGAAAGGGGAGGGGAGGTAAAGGGGAGGGGAGGGCGAGAGTGAAGAGAGGCAGAAGGCAGTCCCATAGGGTGATCACGCGGTCGTCCTCCGTATGATTAAAGTAAAACTCCTGCGAAGAGGGCAGGAGTGAGAGGAGGGGAGGCAAAGAAGAACGGAGGCAATGGAGTGTGCACGGACGGAGAGAGAAGAGGAGAGACAGGAGGAAGTCTCGGGTGGTAACCATTCGGCCGTCCTCCATAAGATCAAAACAGCAGTCCTGCCAGAGGAGGCAGAGGGAAGAGTGAATAGACGAGGCAATAGTGTTTGAACGGCTAGCAAAAGAGGACTCGACGACTCGACCACTCCTGCTGTGACATGCCTCTCACCTTACTGTGACCACAGAAACTTACTCTCAGCAGCCAGAAGAACACCGGAGAGAACAGCCCCAGCTCCTGCGTCGTAGAAGACGACCCCGCTGCTCCCGCTGCTCCTCCTGCTCCTCCTCCTCCTTGTGCAGCAGAAGAGGCGGAGTTGGCGCGCACTTGGATGTGCTTGGCCATCTCAGTGACCATGGACAGGCGGTCCAGCGACGACTCATCGATGCCGCCCATCTGGTTGTACACGAACAGGGACGACAACAGCACCGCCAGCGAGAAGATCTGCGTGCTGTACGTGCCCTGTGGACCGCGAAACAAAGAGAAGAGGCATGGGGTGGAAAGAAGTATTAGGACGACTCGTCGATGCCGCCTATCTGGTTGTACACGAACAGCGATGATAGCAGCACCGCCAGCGAGAAGATATGCGTGCTGTACGTGCCCTGCACACGCGGCACAAAAAAGAGAAGCGTGGAGAGGGAAGATGTTTTGAGACGTCACAAAACGTGTGGTACGCGACACGCACACACACACAGCACACAAAGAGACAGAAGGAACAGCAGAGGTGGCGTTTCAGCTAACTCAGACAGCAGCACGACCAGCGGTAAAATCCGATTGCTATACGCGCCCTGAACGCGCTCTGTACCTCACCGTCTGGTCGTCACCTCGATGCCCTCTGAGGTCAGCAGCAGCAGCAGCCGGTGGTGGCATGATCCCTCAGAATCTGTCACCTTATATTAAATCCCGACAATCCAAATGCTCTCACCGTCTGATCGTAGGCGTCAATGCCCTCTGAGTCCAGCAGCAGCAGGTGGTACGACGATCCGTCCGGAGCTGTGACTTTAACTGGCGAGCTCCAGATCCACAGCCCCTTGGTGCACGGCCGGTGCGTGGGGCCCACTGTGAACCCACTGCTGCGTCCCAGCAGCTGCGGAGGAAGGGTTACGAAGGGAAAGAGGGGACCGGATGAGAAGGAACGCAGTGACCAGGCACATGAGTCTCACTGCGAACCCGCTGCTGCGACTCAACAGCTGAGCGATTGCTTTAGAGTTTCTAGCACTCATACGCGAGTAATATCGAGAATCTGAGCAAAAAAACATAAACGCAGCAGCTATAAATTCGCGCACTCACGTCCCTGCGAGGGACAATCGAGACATTCCTTGTAGGTCGGTCAACGGAAACGAACCCCCCATTTCTACCTGATTCAGTATGAAGCTCTTTCCCTGCCTCGCCCTTCCGCACACCGCGACAACCCCGAGGGGTCCTCGCAGTCGCCGCAGCGCGCTGACGGCTTCGGGATCCATTCGGAACACCCCTTGGTCATCCTTGTACACCAGCCGGATCGCGCGTGACGTCAGCGGATCGGGAATCGACGCGGCGACCGGGGATCCGGCTTCTCGGGATTGAGGTAACGGGGAGAGAGTAGCAGGAGCGGGTCGCGTGGGTGTTGCCGATGGATTCGATTGCCTAGGAATTGACGGCATCGGTGACCTTAGCCCAGTTGTGGGGGATCGTGCGGCTGTAGCAGGAGATGCGACTGGCGACTGAGAGTTGCCGGTCCCGCCTCGATTGAATATCCACGACATGCTGTCTCGAATATGATTGTTCTAACACGCCTGATAAGCTGTGTGTATACTGTAAGATAAACTTAGGGTAAGGCTGATGGAGTTTTAGGCCATCCAAAACTTGACTAATTGCACATAGTTCGAGTCTAGGGTGGCGTAGGATAGAGCCAACCAATCACAAAATCGTGCTACGTTCGACGACAGAAAATACAACAATAGTATGAAACCTAATATGAAGATTCACAACAAGTGATCTGTCAAAGACTGTTAGCAAGGTGCCGACCCGGGGACAGAAACCAGCACCTGAAAACTGAAATGATCCGGAGTCGAGATATGCTGTTCTGGGAGGTGTGTCTCGTCTGAATGCAAGCTTGAGCCAAACTCGAGACGAGAGACCCGTGTGAGGAGAAGACGAAATTGAGGGAAAGGCTGTGGGGAATCGCGCGGGAATTTCGAAGTTGCAGACTCGTGCCGGGCAGGGGCTGACACCGAGGTTCTGACGCTCGCGGTTTAGTTCTGATAATCATTTCGGTGTTTTCCGTTTGTTTATGAGTTACTGATTACAAATATGGTACACACTGTAAAATAATCACTCATTGTCATAACAATTGATAAAAAATGGGTGCGGCTTAGAATGCTGGAGCATTAACACCCAGTTGTAAGGAAATTCCTTTTCCTTACTTCGCATCCCTGCTCAACGAGTACATCACTGTAGCACCACAGTCAGCACCATTACCACTCGCAACCCTCGCATCGACAATCCGCCCGCCACCTTCGCACATCATACCCCGACCTCACGGCTCGGTTGGTAACCCGCGCTCCGGGCCTCCGCTTCGACACTTTTCCCAACCTCAGTCCCAGGCCCGTCGCGCGACAACCACAGTCCATTTCCGTTACCACTGTAGTTTCGCTATATATTCTTCGCTCATGCCTCCGCTCATTGTACTCTTGCTTTGATAGTGCAATTCTTGTTCGTTCACTCAATTGCACTCGTAACACTTGGTATTCATAGCCTACGATCTCCTCTCGGACCGCACCCACACCTTCGCTTCCCCACTATCTCAATTTTTTTGAAGGGAGGGGGTAGACGTCTCTCAGCGACACAGCACCGCCGCTCGTAGTGCTCTCTCGTAAGCACGCACGGACACGACCGAGGCTCTCGCTGAGCTCGCCCGACACCCTCGCCATAGCCGAATTCACGCTCGCCACATTGACGCAGGAGCAGCTCGACCGTCTGGTGTGCCAACTTGAAGATTCTGTCAAACATTATATATGTTGTTGTGTTTGTTTAGGCTACAGTGGGTTAGCCTATAGGGGGTACACAATTCTAGGGTTAGGTACTTGTACTGTTTTCACTGCTAGTCCATTCATTCCTGTTCCGTTATTCCAACATGGTATAGACCAGGTCCTTCCTAGGACCGAAATTTTTTTTAAGGGCCCACCACTACCTACCTACCTACCTACCTACCTACCTGCGCCCTAGGGCGCCTCGGTTTTTTTCACGGCCACCTAAGGCCCCGACGGCCCGCCCCTAGAGGCCCCGTCGGCCCCGCGCTTACCTCCCTAGAGGCCCCATACGGCCCCGCGATCGCCCCTAGAGGCCTCGTCGGCCCCACGCTTACCTCCCTAAAGGCCCCGTACGGCCCCGCGATCGCCCCTAGAGGCCCCGTAGGCCCCGCGCCTGCCTCCCTAGAGGCCCTCCTTACGGCCCCGCGATCGCCCCTAGAGGCCCCGTCGGCCCCGCGCTTACCTCCCTAACGGCCCCTTATGGCCCTGACCTCAAGGTCGAGATGTCTGGTGCATCCGGGTCTCCCTCAGGGGCAACAAGCATGGACACGAGATGGGGCAAAACGGTAGCAAAACACTCAAACTCCTCCTGCTTGTCCTCAAGGACGTCTATGCCAAGAGCACACTCACCTCTCGTGGCGACCCCCGTACCCCGTTCTTTGAGGGGTGTTCTCCTTCCCCCCTTCTTCCCTCTGTCGCCTCTACTGCTGCTGTCGACCTCCTTGGTGCTGAGAAGGTCGGGACTGCGTCTGCTTCGAGCGGGCGCCGCAGCGGCAAGGGCAAAGGGGGTAAGGGTGGTGGCGGTGACGGCGGGGGAGGTGGTGGTGGGGGCGGTGGAGGCAGTGGGGGTGGTGGCGCGACTGGAGGGGCTAGTGGCAGTGGTGGGGGTGGTGGCGGCAGCGGCGGGGGAGGTGGCAGGGGCGGAGGCGGTGGTTGGGGTGGCGGTGGACGAGGCGGCGGCAGGGGTTGGGGTGGTCGAGGAGGTGGCGGCGGCGGTGGTGGTCGTGGAGGCGCTGGCGTTGGCCAGGGCCAGCAGCACACTCCGTCGCCCCAGGAGGTCCGTGAGTGGTACTCTCTGCACGGGGGGGGGGGGGGGGGGTGGCCTTAGCTGCACGTACGTCATTCGCACTGGTGACCGCACTGGTCAGCAGTGTGGACGACCACACGCCACACAGCGCTGCTTCGCTCGTCTCGACGACGCTTGGCGTGTTCAGTTCCCTCAAGCCACTGAGCTGCCCCTCTGGATTGATCTCCTGAAGAAGGGGATTGATATCTATGCTCTAGACTTTGATGCTATTCTATCTGCTATGTATGTGATGTCTACTAGTGGAGAGGGTGCTGAGTACCTGTGTGTGCCACCCGACCCGGGCATTAGGACTAGTGCGTCTGCCGCTCCAGGTACTCGCGTGTCGGCTACCCCAGGTGCTGGTGAGGCAGCTGCTCTAGGTGCTTGTGTGTCTGCCCCCCTTGGTATTGAGTCGACTGCAGCACTGCACACCTTCACACTGGAGTTAGGTGCTTCTCGTTGTTTCTTTCGTGACCGCACTGCCCTTGAGCCGCTTGCTCGGCCAGTTGCTGTCTCCCTTGCTGACCCCTCTGGGGGTCCGATCATTGCGACCTCTTCCACTGTCCTTCCCTGTCCTGCGGTCCCGTAAGGCACACTGTGAGGTCTCCACCTCCCCTCGTTCTCTACGAACCTGGTGGCACGATGTGCGCTCCAGGACGGGGGTGTTCACCAGTTCACCCCTGCCTACAAGCGCGTGACACACTGTACGTGTGCTCGTACGGGCCGTCACTTGGCTACCTTTACTCGGCAGCCGGGGTCGGACCTGTACACACTGACTACTGAGTCCCCTCAGGTTGCTGCGTCTGCCTCTGCGTCCGCGTCAGATCAGTTGTCGGCCCCCTGCTCGTGTCGCTCTCTGGCACACGAGACTGTCCTCTGGCACCACCGCCTTGGCCACCCGTCGGTGCAGCGGCTTCGTGCCATGCACTCCCGGTACCTTGTCTCTGGCCTGCCCAGGGTCCTTCCTGCCCTCCAACCCTCACCTGCTCCTACCTGTTTCCCCTGTGTAGAGGGACGGCAGCGCGCCGCTCCTCACTCCTCCTCGTTTCCCCCGACGACTGCTCCCTTGCAGACGCTCCACATGGACGTGTGGGGACCAGCTCGCGTCCGTGGTCAGGGTCAGGAGAGGTACTTCCTGATAGTTATAGACGACTACGCGCGCTACACCTCGGTCTTCCCCTTGCGCACCAAGGGTGAGGTCCCTGATGTCTTGATCCCTTGGATCCGCAGAGCCCGTCTCCAGCTAAGCGAGCGTTTTCACTCGGACTTTCCTGTCCTGCGCTTGCACTCTGACAGAGGTGGTGAGTTCTCCTCCGACCTCTTGGCGGCCTACTGTGCTGAGCACGGAGTTGAGCAGTCGTTCACGCTTCCGGCCTCTCCACAGCAGAATGAGGTTGCGGAGTGCCGCATTGGCCTGGTCATGGAGGTCGCCCGTACCTCCTTGATCCATGCGGCTGCCCCCCACTTTCAGTGGCCGTTTGCGGTCCGGTACGCTGTGCATCAGCTCAACCTCTGGCCCCGTGTCTCCTTGCCGGAGACCTCGCCCACACTGCTCTGGACGGGGGAGGTTGGCGATGCGTCGCGTTTCCGGGTCTGGGGATCTCGAGCTTTTGTCCGTGATACGTCTGCGGACAAGCTCTCCTCCCGTGCTGTTCCCTGCGTCTTCCTCGGATTTGTCCCAGACGCGTCTGGTTGACAGTTTTACCATGCCACCTCGCGTCGAGTCTTGCCCTCTCAGGACGTCACTTTTGACGAGTCCGTCCCCTACTACCGCCTCTTCCCCTACCGCACTGCCCCGCTCCCCCCCCCGCCTCTCTTCCTCGCGCCAGGTGCTGCTGTTGTAGACCCCCTCCCCCCTCAGGGTGCCGCTCCCTCAGGTGTGTCTCAGGTAGACTCGGTTGAGCCTGTTGAGGTAGCTGGCGACTCTCTTCCTGCTGGGGGTTCTGAGCATTAGGGTGCTGAGCCTGGAGGTGCTGAGCCTAGGGGTGCCGGGACTGGGGGTGCTGAGCATGGGGGTGCGGAGCCTGGGGGTGCGGAGCCTGGGGGTGCAGAGCCTTGGGGTGCGGAGCCTGGGGGTGCGGAGCCTGGGGGTGCGGAGCCTGGGGGTTCTGAGCCTGGGGGCTGAGCTTCGGGGTGTTGAGCAGTAGAGTCCGACATCTGGGGGTTCTGAGTCTGGAGGTACTGAGCCTGGGAGTCCTACACCTGGGGGAGCCCTCTCCTCGGAGCAGCTGCATGAGTGGTACTTACAGTATTGCAGCCTCAGGAGAGGCACCTCTGGAGTCGAGCGTGCTACTGGGACTGGTGCTAGTACTTCTCCTCCTAGTCGGGAGCTCCCCTCTCGTGAGCGGATCCGTGAGTGGTACGAGCGGCGCTACACTCTTCGGAGTGGCGTGCCTTGTGTCGCGGACCCCGCTGCTGTTGGTGCTGCTGCTGGTGCTGAGGACCCGGGTGTTGGAGCTGCTGCTGGTGCTGCGGACCCGGGCGTTGGAGCTACTGCTGGTGCTGAGGACCCGGGTGTTGCAGCTGCTGCTGGTGCTGCGGACCCCGGCGTTGGAGCTGCTGCTGG